CACTGCCTCCTTGTCCGAATAAGAGGTCTTTAAAACACCAATGCCTGTAGTAAATTGATGAGATTAACACGTGCCAAGATGTCGACTACCGAAGGACTAAGGTTATGCAAAAGTGGATTACTCTTGGAAAGATTAGATGCGAAGGTGATGCCCAAGCAAAATTAATTACTCCGCGTTCTTCTTCTTCGCCTTTTTCAGTGCTTTCTTCAGGTGTTCGTCGTTTGTGCCGTTCTTGAGCGACGCACGCGCCATAATTTGCGTATCCGTCATTTGCGAGGAATGGTCGTCCGTGGAGAACAGGGGGCGCTTGATATCACCGATTGCATCCAGCTTGACTTCGTCGTCCATTTGGCACCACTCCGGAAACCAGTCGCATTCGACGCAAATTTCATTGATACGCGATTTATCTCCGGAAGATTTGTTCAATGCGTCTTCCACGAGGTTTGCTACTTCGGACGTCTGTTCTGCTTTACAGGTGTTGCACTGACACGCGCAGGCCGATGACTCATCGTAATACGACCACCATTCCTTCCTGATTTGTCGAGCGGATAAAATTACATCGAGACTAGAAGAAGAAGTGCCTAAAGGTAGTTCGAATAGAGGACTACTACGCGACTTGAGTACACAACAGAAAAATTTTAAGATTACATGGTCGGTTTCCCTTTCTTGTCGGAGCAGGTCTTGCAGACTGCCGTCGGACAATTTTGCGAAAATTTGCATATTTGTGCGAACTCGTCTTTCGACTTGCTGCACCTGCACATCGCGCACGTGTAGTTTTCGAGCGGCGTCCATTGCGACGGGTCGACTCCGAAAACAACTTGCAGTGCTGGCTGCTGCTGCTGGCCCTGGTCACCGCCCCCGGGCTGCTGCTGTTGCTCACCGCCGTCGACCATGATCGATTTTTGATTAGTGCTTGAGGTTGCGTTTTTCAGACCTTTCAAAACTTCACAAAATACATAATTCAACCACAGGCTCTGTTTTGCGAAGTAGTGGTCCAATGCGAACAGTAGTCCGTCGGCGATTGGGAAGATTTTGCTTTTGAAAAACTCGCTGGCCACGATGTGGCTGGAGTGGTAGATTGCCAAAGGGGGAGTAAACAGTTGAACGCACGCGTACAAAGGATTGCCGGTCGTATGAACTTCACACTTCGACAACCGTACGTAGAGAGTATCTTCACTGAGTTTCATCCTGATTAGCCTGAATGGTGATTACGTGCGGGTTGAATTGCGGTTAGTCTCGAGAAGTAAGTATTGTTTTGCACGCCCTTTGTCGGGTGGGAGTATGTGAACAAGCAGAAACGGCGCACCAGCTGCAGCTGTGCTTCTCTCACTCAGTTCGGAATTATGAATATTTTCCATTTCGTTGCCGAGGAAACAAAAACAGAAATTTTAGAGCTGACTTACAGCTTGCATGCGGCTACTCATGGAGCAAGTCTACTCGGACTCCGGCTCGGTGACCAACTGGTCATCGCTGTCCTCGTCCGAGTCGTTCAAGAAGCTACGCAGATTGCGAAAGCGGCGATTGCCACGACTGTACACGACTACGAACTCGGAGAACATTGCTTTGATCTGACAGATCATAGCAAACAAGTGCGTCGCGCCCGGGTGCGTACGCCCTTCACCCATCAGCGTCGCGTTGGAAAATTGGGGAATTCCGACGTGGGGGAGGATCGTTTCGCCGCACTGCGGGGAGGCTGCGAGGGCGATCATGAAGTCCACCGCCGTCTGCAAGTCCCGGACAGATTGGAGCGTCGCTTTCCGTAGCGTGAGTTCCCGCAGCAGGCGGCGCTCGAGCAGATCGGATGCCCTTGCGAAAAAATGGTTACAGATCGCCGCCCACGCGCCTTCCAGAACGCGCCAGGAGATTGCCCGACTAACCACCTGCGCGATTGCCAGGTTGTTACGCGTGGTCACCGTGTACGCGAACGTACCTTCGCCCACCTGGTGCCGTGCCGCGGACTGCACTGCGAGGCCGCGGCCGATGATTGCGGTTTGCCGGGAGACTCCGGGCAAAGCGAAGATTAGATTATTCCGATTAATTTCGACCGTCGCGGGGCGTGCGATAACTTGGTGCTCACTGCCGACCAAGCCGCGCCACAACGAGGCGAAGACTTTTTTGATCAAGATGAACACTCTTTGGCGTTATGTCACTGCGCGTTGGCTAGTGGAGAATAAATGTGTCTTAGGTTTGTGAGTGGGGCAGGAATTATGATGAGTTTTGGACTAGACTTTGACAATACTGTGGATCCTTTTGCACGTTGGCTAAAACGGACACCGAACAGAAGGCCGCTGCGGAGAACAGTTTGTTTTGCTACATTGCAATTTGTTTGTCTGGATCGTACAGTTACACTCATGCTATGCCGTCAAACGGAAGCTATGTGTGCGATCTTCACGATTTTTTTGCCGCGGCATGCGGTCTTACTGTACGTGGCAACAAGTGCAACAGGCTCAGGAAGCCGCCTAGCGGTCTTATTTCCTTAACCACCTCGGACAAGCACTGCAAGCACTCAAAAAATGACTTTCTCGAGGTAGTGCATGCCGGCGCTGTTGCGCGGCACTCCGTTCTGCGACGGGTGAAAGGCTTCGACGAGCAGCTGCTTCCAGTCCTGCGCGAACACCAGTTTGCACTTCTGCGCCGCGAACCAGGGCGGCAACAGCATGATCGGAAAGTTCGTCAGCAGCTCCCGGCCCTTGGCATTCGCTTTGGCGTCGACCCGGATGTTCCCCAGCTCGGTATTGATACGGGCGACTAACGCGGCTTCCGCCGGGGGCTGCACGTTGTCGCTCGCTTTGGAGAACGCCAGCTGTTGGATGTGCAATTCTAAGAGGTCGGCCCACTCCGCAATGACCACGCACGCGCAGCGGGTACTAAAGAGGATGATGGTGGCGATTCCGAAATCGAAGCCCGGCAGCTGCTTCATAGCGCAGTGCAGGCGACTAATTTCGCCCGCTAGCTTGGCGGTCACCTGGATGTTCTCGGTGTTCGCCTGGTAGTTCAGGCACTGGTGATTGTCCGCCACCATCTTTTCTTTTTTCGGAACGGGGAGAATATCGACTCCTTCGTGGAAAAGCAGATTGCCCGCCTGGGAGCGAATGTATCTTCCGAGATACAGTAGGATCCTAGGCATTTTGCTGTGTCGATTATGGTGTGACTCGGGTCGGACAAAAACTGCAAAACACGCGGAGGACGCGCGAACTCGTACTAGAATACTATGCTGCTCGCAGCTTGAATGAGAGGAGATTAATGCTATTTGCTTGCGCGTTGGCTCAGCGAGAGAATGCGATCATACACGTAGGACTATATTGAATATCTTCGAGTTTCATCGGACTAATGATTGTTGTGTTTCGCAATGTGAAGCAACGCACTACATATCTCAAAATTGTCACTGGTTTCAAAACTGTCGCCCTTGCATTGACCTCCTTTGAGGTTGCTAGCGACTGCGCTGTGCTGATGATTAGCAGTCGGACTCGTACGCGACGTCGACGCCTCCCTTCCGGGTGTAGCGGCCGTAGCTGTACGTGGCCCCGATTTTCATGGTCCGCAAAGTCTTGCAGAAGACGTCGCCGACCTCGGCATCCGAAAACCGTTCGGGCTCAGTCACGGTCTTCACCGTCACGCCTGGATTGGTTGGTAGAATGTTTACCATATCGATTTGAGAATAGGCCTACTGAGACTACATACGAATATTCGAAAGGACTACGTGAGCGATTGCGAATGGAGTAAACCAGTGAAAAACATTACAAGCGGATCCGCGTTCGTACTTGGAGAGGTTCGCCGCAGCCTTCTGCTTGCTGCAGTGGACGTCCCAGTTGGAGAGAGCCGAAGCAGATTTCGCAGCGGAACCTTTGCCGGTCTGCTCGGGACCCGACCCCAAAAAGCAGTTGCGGCACGCGCTACCCGCACTGGAAGACGCGCTGCCCGAACTGGAGTGATTAGATTTCGAGTTGCGATTACGATTACCATTAGTACTGCGATTACGATTCCCTTTGAAGCGGGCCGGGTTACTGCCCGCCGCCCACTTGCTGTTGCCTCCACCGTTGTTGTTGGACGTGCGGGGCGGGCACGAGCTGGACTGCTTGACTCCCGAAGAAGACGTCGCGGCCAGACGCTTCGCCCGATCGGCAGCAATGTCGTCGACCGCTTTCTGTGCGATTTTGTTATGCGTGTCGATCGCTTCCACGAGCATGCCGATTTTTTCCATTAGGAAAACGACCGCAACACCAATTTGTTGCAGTTGATTAGCGATTTGATTAAGCGGGTCGATTAACGTGTGGAATCCGTCTGCCACCGCGGTGCCGACTTCGCGCACGTTCCGCTGGATGAAGCGGATGGCGACGCTCAGTTCGGAACCGATTCCGAGTAGCGCCATCATTTTCGCTCCAAACCTGCAAGCCTCCGCATTTTGCATCAGGGCATAATTGGCGAACGCCGTGAAGATGCCCAAGAACCACGAGTCGAGGATGATGCGGCACAGCACAGACAGGAGGATTAGGCGGATTTGCGAATAGTAGTAAAATTTCATAATTTTATTATAATGCTTTAAAAAATCTTGTAAAAAGAAAATTTTTGATTATGATTGCGAATACGACTAGGATTAGCGATTAGGATTAAAGGATTATGGACACGTTGTTTATACCCCGGATGCGTGTACCAGACCCCGGCAAATACTCTACGAGAACACTGGGAACAAAACGAACACGATCTAATACCGCTCTCAAAATTGGAACTCAAACGAACCGCTACGCGCTACTCAGAGTCCATAATTGTGAATATGTCTATACAGATACCGAGCATCAGCATTGTCTCTTCCTATTAAGCCGTCAGTAGTATACAGTGTTCGAATGTTCCTAACCGACCATCAGCAGTATACAATGTTCGAATTTTCCTAAGCCCCTATGACCAGAAAAGCTAGCGTTCGAACACAGAAGGACCTGGATGAAGAAGAAGACTTCGGCCAAGTGCTCTTGTTCCACCGCATTGCAAGTGCCGCTTTGCACGTCGTGGCGCCCTTGTGCTTGTTGTGTTAAGCAAGACAGAAAAAACACGACTATCGTGCATTTATTCTTGTTCGTAGTCAATCGATCAACCAGAAATAATTCCGCGCATCATCACATAGTACTGTCCCTTTCCAACATTCAGTCAACTTTTTTTACACTCCCGGTTTCTCCGTGATCTGATCCGGAAACATTTCCTTCTGGATCCTCCGCTTCTCCCTTTCAAACGCCTGCATTGCATCTCGAGCTGCCAAATTGGAATCGGAAACAGTTGTACTGCTGGTGGTGGTCTTCTTTTTGTTCATCTTTTTTCCTACTTTTTTCATCTTCGAAGATGAACTTGAAGTGATCGCGTGATTCGAAGATGATATCGGAATTGTTGCATCTTCATCTTCTGCTCGTCCCGCAATAGAACTACTACTTCCTGCTTCACGACCAGCATGAGGATGATCCTCCGCCACTTTCTTCTCAAATGTCACCAGCACTTTGTTCCGAAAATCCAAATCATCCGCCTCGATGGAAACCAAAACCTGGTCCAAGACGGCCAACTTCTCGGACGAATTCGAATTTGCGATGCACGTCATCCCATTTGACGACGAAGAACCACAAATCCTCCACCCGTTCTCCTCCCCCAGGCCCTTCCAGACCGCCGCTTCCACGCCGTACTTCGGGATGTTCACGAAGATCTGTTTTTCCGACTGGATCCGCATCACAATCGCCAGCTCGTGCTCCACCTTCCCGCGTTTCTGGAAGTAGAGATACGTGTGCAGTTGCGAACTCGCTCGCCCTATCCTGAGTAAAAACATCCCCATACCAGAATCAAGATGGAGATTTTTCAACACAAACCTGGAACTTTTGGGGGTCACGCATTACAAGTTGCAGTCTGTAGCGTAGTGCAGGTTCGCAAGGCCAGCTGCATCAGAAATCCATCTGGTCGTCCTGTTTACAGCATTACAAATTTCAAAACACGACTAAAAACGCCTCTCCTGGCGATGCGCATTACAAATGTTCCTGTCATTGCAAATCTGCATGACAACTCTGGTGTGGGGACGCTTTTACTCAGGATACGCCCGGACCACTGGGCCATGCGGTGTTTCAAATTGATGCGCTCGCACTGCTATGCACTGCAAATATGTCTGGGTCTCGAAGGGTGCAAGTTTGTCATGCTTGTCTGGCATGCCTCTTAAATCTGTGATGCATGTTATGAGTAGGAAAAGCATCTCTTGCCTGTCATGCAAAAACGCCATTTGCCATGCGAGATACGCAACAAATAGGACCTCAAAAATTTGTCATGCGTGGCTGCATATTAAAGAGCGTCCAGCAATCGTAGACTTGCATCACAACTTCCCACACCCAGATTATATATTTGCAATGCATAACTGCTCGGTCATGCGGTCTTTGGACAGTTGGTCGGGGAGAATCATTTTGTTTAACTGCGTTGCAGGGTCCTCGGACTCACCGGTTGATGTAGTTTGTTGTTCTGCTCGGACAATAGTAGTCCCATCTCCATTGTCCTTATCCGCGGCTACCTTCCGCTTCTTTTTCTTCTTCGAGAGATGAACCTCTCCTCCTGCAGCGGTTTTTTGTGCTGTTTCCTGCTGTTGGTGTTCCTGCGGATTATGCACAAGAATTTCCTCCACCTTACTCGAGCCCTCGTACCCAATGGCGTAAGCGAGTAGGCGATGCGCCAACACGTCCGCATAACGTCGGATGGGACTGGTATCGCAAGAAAAAACTGTTTCACTGTGAACTTGTGATGCGTATTATGGAACACAGAACTATTTGTCTTGCTACACCTGCAAGGCATTGGATTTTTCACTGTGTTTTCCCTTGGAAAGCGCGCATGGCAAATTTTCTGTGTCATGTGTAGCAAACTTGTGATGCGGATCTTGCAAAATCATCACACTGAAACAGTTTTTTTGTGGGATAACTGGTAAAGTGCGTGTATAACGCCATGGCCAGCCCGTAGTGGTTGTACAAACTCCGATCCGCAATCTGCCCGGTGCAGAAGTAGGTCGCTTGGTTCATGCACCGGGTCGTCAACACGCGCAGCAGCTGGGTCACCAACTTCTGCTTCTGCTGATTAGCCACGTTAATATTTGGAGATGACGATGAAGCTCCTGTTGATGCGCCACCAGCTCTGTTCGTAGTCCTCCTTCCCAAGTTAACATTATCCATCCTCCCCAGCGAATCAAGCGAATCCGCGAGCTGCTTGTTGGTTTGAAATTTGAACTCAAATTCACTGTTCTCCCCGAGCGTGTTCTTGATCAATTTTTCCAAGTTTTCCAACGCGTCCAGCTTCGGGGTCGGGTGCCGCCGCAGGATGGAAAAGTTCGGGAAGTTATCAACTGTAAAAATGTCTGGGTCTGGAAGATTCTGACACTTGTCATGCACGTTTTGCATGAGCCATGATGTCTGTGATGCATACCCTAGCAATACAGATTTTTTGAGGGCTTCTTGATGGCTATTCCGCATGACAAACGCCTTCTCAGTGTATGCAAAAATTGCATTCCCTTTGCTACTCATGCAATACAGATTTTTTTGGAATCCAAACGCAGCATCACAAGTTGCATTCTTCCAGACCCAGACATTCTTGCATTTGATAGAAATGGGTTAGAATTTTCTCCGCGACTGTCGTGTTCGCGAGAAGCATGAACTCTTCCACCATCCGGTTAGTTATGCAATGTAAATTTCCTGTACATGTACAAAATGCATGACAAATTTCGCTAACTTGCAGTGCACAACTTGTCATGCTACACTAGGATTGAAGGCAAGTTTTGTCATGCAGAGACTGCATTTGTACGTGTACAGGAAATTTACTGTGGATATTAGTATCCTTCAGTTCATAAGCGGACACGGACACCGGGTCGTGGGTCTCGGATTCTAACTCGAATCTCATCTCCTGCGAAGCAAGTTCCAGCGCGCCGTTTCTCCGTCTCTGTTCTCGTAGCTTCTTTGCAATGGCATTCAATGCCCGAAGGGACTTAGTTAAGTCCGTGGTGTCGGACTTGTCATTAATGCGGTTCTGGGCGTCAGCGTAGGCGAGGGCGGCCTTGGATTTGATCATGGCCTTGCAAAACTCGACCTGGTGTTGAGAATGATGAATTCATAGAATTTGGTGTTCATGGGATATTTTCGATAGTACACCATCCGAAAGCTGCTTAAAGCTTCATCAACGAAGCAGGCACACGGCAAGAACTTGTCTTTATTTTGAAGCAGGACCGCCTCGTAGTATACTGATAAAGATTTTTCTCTATCTTCATCTTGTTCCACGTCGGACTATAGAAAATCAGGAGGGGAATCCCATTTTGCATCAGCTTTGCCTTGATTAACACAACCAAATGCAAATCATGACAAAGCATTGCGATATAAGAGGACGAGTCATCAGTTTGTTCTACTTGTTGTTTCGACGTGGAGTTCTTCACAGAGTTATGCGGAAAGTAGATCACAAAGAACACGAATATCAAGTTGAATTTCAATTTTCATGAAACTCAATGGTGTCATGCATAAAAAGCATACGTACCTTCCGAATTTGCGTCGGATCTTCCAGATTCATTTCCCACAAGACGCTAAACGTCAGCCGCACCACGTTCGCCCGCAACGAGCACAGATCCGTCGTCAACAAACTCGGCAGCATGTCCGTTCGCTTATGAAAGCCTCAGAATGGAAATCCTCAACGTGGAAATAATTTGTGATGCATGAAATGCGACGCAAAAAAGACTGTATTGCAGAGGATGCAATGGAAGCCGAGTATTGTCCTGCTACGGGTTAAGATTTGGAGTGCTGATTAGCACGAGAGAAGGGCACTCCTTTGCCTAAGTAGCATGACAGACACGTTTTCAGTGCCTGGGAAATTTGTCATGCGCCGACTACAAATGGCGCTTCAACTGGAGTCGTTTTTTTGCATTACAAATTATTTCCACTCTGAGGATTTCCAACCTGAGGCTTTCATATCGTTTTTCCACCAAGTACACACTGGTACACCGCTGCTGCGCCTCCTTGTCGATCGCGGAATATCAAATGCAAAAATGTCGGGGTCTGGAAGCTTGTAATGCTCAAAGTGAATGATCGGCGCATTGCAATACGCAACTACGCATGACAAATTTTCTGGCTGCCACGTCTTACGTATTCCGCATGGAAAACTGCGTTTCTGCATGACAGGTTGTAAGAGGGCTTTTTTCTGTCTATCGACAACACAGAATCTCGAGTCATGCCAGACAAGCATGACAAACCCGCATTCTTCCTGACCCAGACATTTTTGCAGTTGATACGGAATCTGGCTTCACGAAGTGGGTAACGTCCGCGATGTGGACCCCAACTCTCACCCAGTTACTATTTTCTTCTAAAAATTCACAGGAGAGCGCGTCGTCGATGTCCTTACACCCCGGCGGGTCGACGGAGCAAGTCAGAAGATCGGTTAAGTCCCTTCTATTCGGGTCGTTCTTCCGAAAATAGTCCACGTCCACTTCGTAATCAGATATGCATGGCAAAAGTATCTTAATCTTCGTGCTAGTAGAAATCGCATGACAAATTCACTCAGCATGAGAGATGGAGTTTGTCATGCTGTTTTACCCTGGGATGGAGATTTGTAATGCATGACTGCGATTAATACTACGTACGAGTACGAAACTTTTGCACAGGATATCAGATGGCGGCAGGCAATTGTACACCGCGGTGGAAAACTCCTCCGTCCGGACGCCGTGCTCGTGCAGAATAACCGCGGACTCCTATCCTATGTAAAAACGTCCCCACCCGATACCGATAGTTGTCTTTGTCATGCAAATCTGCATTATCAAAACGTTTCGAATGCGGAGACCCATGAGAAGCCTTTCCTAGTCGTGATTTTGGATCTGTAATGCCCCACTCAGCATAATAGGCTAGCTCTGTGATGCTGCTGAACAAGCTAAACGGGACTACACTACGAGGCGAAACTTGTCATGCGCAACACCCAGAGCTGACAGATTTGTCTAGCAGATTTCCCACCTTGACTATAGGGTGGGGACGTCTTTGCTCGGGATAACTCCACCGTTCTGTCCCCAACAGTGCCCAGAATCTTCGTCCAGTGCCCTTTCGGCGAGGTGATTTCCGACAACTCCCAGCTGTCGATCGTGACTAGGATCCGCTTGTTTTCCAGTAAGTGCCCCTGTCTCGTCGGGATTCGGACGTTCGGGATTCGCGGGTCTACCGGGACAAAAATCCGAAACTCTTCTTTGTTCGAAGTAGAAGCTGTACTACCTCCGTTTCTACTACTATCGTTTTGCTTGATTGTCCCGGCAATCTCCCGTTGCTGGAAGTTCTGCCCACGCTGCAGAATGCCCACCACACGGTAGAGGGATTTGCTCCTAACGACGTTTGAAGATGTCGGGTTATTTGTGTTGCGAGATGCATTAGATCCGGCGTTTGTATTGCTCGCAGTTGCAGCAGTAGCGGTGGGGGTCGTTTGTGTTTGTTCCGCTAACATTTCTCCCTCCTTTACGACATCCTGCACATCTGGCAAGGCGGATTCCAACAGCTTTTCCTCGTCTTCGTCCGGTTCTTTCGTCTTCTGCATGACAGATTCTTCCTCCGGTAATATCTCCTCGACACAAACGACATCTCCGTCCAACGCTCGATTCAAATTCCGGACCCCCCGGATTTCCATGTTTTCCCCGATCTTGCCCGCAGTTTATGCAATACAAATTTCCCGTACATGTACAGGACGCAGCACAAACTTCACCAATTTGGAGAGTTGTAAAACTTGTCATGCTAAACTAGGATCAAAGCCAATTTTTGTCATGCAGAAAACCGCATTTGTACGTCGTGTACGGGAAATTTACTGTTGATACAGTTGCAGTGTGCATCATCATCCGCAGGATCCCCTGGTGGTACTTCCCGCTGTCTAAACCAAGCTGGAGCTCCGCCAGCGGCAGGTGGGGACGGTGGGTCGTGGAGAGGAGCGGACAGTTGTAGTTCTGAGCAGTAGTGCTACTTGTTGTTCCCACTGGATGTAGGTGCTGTTGACCAGCACTTTGTACTGCTTTTGTACAACTTCTGCTCGTTTGCTCTACTGGCTGTCGGATTTTTTCCAAACAGAGCGCGTAAAAATCTTCTGCATTGGTGTTTTTCTTTTTTCGAACAGGTTTGTTCAACAAAATCCTGTCCCGGAACTGCTCGATGTGCTTGTGGGATTTCAGAAGGAGGACAGAATTTCGGGAAGTTGAAGCAGTAACAGCCTCATCTTCTTCTTCAACCTCCAGGTTGCTTGCTTTAGGTTTAGCACCAGCAGCAGCACCAGCTCCCCCCGCTTTCTTCTTTTGCTCCGAAACTTTGCGCTTCTTGGTCTTTGGCGGGGCCGCAGCTTCATCCTCTACTTCATCTGCCGGCACATCATCATCTGGTCGACGTCCTTCTCCTTGCTCGCCTCCTAGATAATTATCTCTTCTATCCAGGTCAACCAAAGAGAAATCGTTTCCATAGCTGGTGTAAAGCCTCGCGATTTTATCCAAGGAGTCAGCATGATCTTCTACTTCGTTTTCCGACAGCACGGATGTTGAAGAAACCAGATGATCTGCGAAGCGGGCGACGCACGACTGGTCGGACGCGGACGCACTGGTCGTGCTGCTGTTGTTCATCCCATTAGAACAAGTTTCATCGAGCAATTTTTCGTACCGCTCCAGAACTTTTTTGGACCGTTTCATGTCCCGTAGCTTCTCCCATTCCGTTTTTAGCAGCAGAAGCTTGAACTTGTCGTGCTGATCGACACTGACAGTACCACTTTGTGTTGCAGAAACTGCATTTTTACTGGTATGATCCACGAGCGTCGTGAAAAAGTCCGACTGGTCGAAGAGCTGCTGGGCCGTCGGGATCAGGACGAAGATGTTTGTCATGCCTTTTCCGCATGACAATGTCATCGTCCAAGGTGGCAGCAGGTCTTCTCTTTTGAAAACGTGGCGCACCCGCTTGTGAATCTTGCCCCGCCTGGTCACCTGCCATTTTTTGAGCTCGGGGACGGCGAGCTGGTCGTCGTTTGCGCTGGTTTGGGCGAAGGTCAACATAGTTTAATTTCGTCCTCGTGTCGCTGATTCTATAATTTTAAACACTAAAAGTCCTACTTCCCATGAAAATGTAAAAGGCAATTATGCGGTGCAGTGATATCAAGAAGAATGTTGCACCTCTCTCCTACAAGTACAAATTCAACGAACTATATCATAAATTGTCGTGCCTGTTCGAAATAGGTGGAGGGATCGTTATTCTTGCCGAAATACTCCGACGGACCGTCTTTTGTGGTGAAAAGAGCAGAAGTTTGAAAACATTGTTCTACTGGTGCAGAGCGTGATCATTCTGTGTATCTCTTTCTTCACCTGTTTGACATGATCATAGTAGCATGAGAGCTTGAAGATTTCTCCATCTTTGACCTGCTCGCCACGATGCCTACAACTTCCCAGGTTTGATTTTCAACGCAAGAACCTTGCTGAAATAGCTATTTACGGCTCTTGAGATTCATCACGACCGAAGCAGGGGAGATATCAACATCCCCACGATATGAGCAGTGTGATGTCGAACTAGTTTTACTTGACATTTTGATCTGCTTCATCAGAGCCAATTTCTGATAGACGCGTCGGAACCTAATCGGCTGTTGCAAATAACTGCAGATCTTGACGCTGATTCTGTTCTTCTTTTTGTCTGTCAACAACGGCGGGCGAGAACGGGAGTTGAGGACAGGGATGACGAGATCAAGATAAAATTTTCAAGGAACAATCTTCGAGCTTGTTCAAGGCCCTAAAGAATCCGAATTTTTTCCTTGTTCGTTCAGATATCACTCGAAAGCCTGTTAATGCTACTGCTTTTCCTAGATGTAGATCTATTTGTTTCGAATATATGGGCTGAGGAACTTGTTTGAGTTTGCTTGTTTGTTTGTTCATGGTGGCCACATGGAACCGCTTGAAAGGTGATCTTTCCTCTCATGTGTCTAACGCTACTTCGATAAAAAAAGGACAGCTTTGTGGAGCTGCTTTGGCTCCCACCTTAGAAGAAGGAACCGCTGCCGAGAAATTCACGGGAAGACAGAGCCTGCTATTGGATGAAAATAAAATAGTTGCTACTCAGATTAAGATTTTTAAAGGTTGCACGTAGAAGGAAGGCTGTTGCTGACGGTAAATAAAAGGACGCTGCTGATTAAAAGTCTTCTTGTCGCTGCAAAAATCTGAAACTTGAAGCTTCTTGCAGTTGTCGAAAGGTTTGGGTTTGTTTTTGTTACGGCCTTTGAGCTACTACCTTGAAAAAACTTTTTTTTTTGAGATTGTTGTTGAAATTTGTTGCTTGGCTGAAAAAGAAAAACTACTTCTAGTCTGCTTAAAACTGCTGAAGCTGATCTTCATCTTGCTGAACTTGGGAAAAATAAAAAATTCGTTGCTGTATTCTTGAGTCGACTACTTGGCGGAGGCGGAGGCCTGAAAAAAAGAAAAACGCAAGCAAAATGAACGCTGAGAAGCGGGCTGTCATACTTACGAGTAAAGGCAAAAAGTTAAAAAATCAGCTGCTTGTACAATTCTGCTGGGAATCGTCGCTGAGTAAAAGGCTGTGGAAGAGCGCAAAAAGATATTTCCCTTGGCAAAATTTGCGAGCGTTATCGAAAGTCTAAACGCGGCCTGTATAAAAGTTGCACTGTGGCAAGTGGAAACCTCATCCAGCCTATTAGATTATAGATTATACATATTTAGACTATGACCATGCGCGGCTGGTGGGCTTCGTTTTCGGGTATGTTAATGTAAAAAAATGTTTGTCGAACTCTATGTAGTTCGGCGCCCCATCCCTCACACTTCGCGCCCTTGATGGTGGGGCACCGCAGAAAATGGCTCTCTTTTTCTGATGCTTTAGGCCGTAGTCTCCGCCCTTGTGTTGCACCCTTCTGACGGCGGCACAAAGACGAGAAACGGAGAATAAAGGGCTACCACACGGGCTACGGTACTGGCTCCGGCGTTTATTTGCAGCCATTGCTATTTACTTACATACAACACAAAAACAAGCTTTGGCAAATGTAAGAGCGGCGCCGCTACTCGCATCCAAATTCCGAGAGAAATACGAATACGGGGCGAGCATCGTGCTGGCTTCGTCGCTTGTTGTGACTATTGTGTGCCGGCAAGCCTGCGCACTAGACCACGTCGAGAGGCTTAGGCCCGGGGAAATGGTAGCCAACACCTGCTTCGAACCCTTTGTAATATACTCCCATCCCCGGGAGGCAGATAAGACCAGGAGAGCCAGCCCTAGCCGCCCGCTCGCGTCCGACCCGATCCACGGTGGGCTGCGCAAATTGTCCGTGCCATGTAGTTGTTCCCCACATCCCGCGCCCGAACCAGCCTCGGCTGAGGTAGTTTACGTCGATGCTTTTTGCGCCAGGCTCCGTGAAGAGCCACAGAAAGCGAGTAGTAAACGACTGGCAGTTGTGGCCGGATAACTTGTACCCATTGCCACCCACATCAAATTTGTGCGCCAGAGAAAAGACGGGACCCGGCCCTTGAGAACGGGTCCCCCAATCCCCATACACAATGTCGTCGAGCTGGCCTAGTGATAAGTTCGCAGCACAAACTCGAGCTCTTGGAAATTTGTTGTACACGAACGCGTCTGTGGTGTGGCAATAGGTAAAAAATGGGGGTGAGTGAAACACCCAGCGCCGACCGATGAATGTCTTGAATTGCAAGTCGGTCGCAAATGACGTGTGCCCGGACCCCGCCCACTCATAGAACACTTCTGCGGTCAAACGGTTTTTCTGGGCACGAAGATTTTCTGTGGCTCACTGAACACCGCTCTGATAAACAAATGCTCGACGATGCTCCCCGCGTTGACGCCAAGCTTTGTCTTACCCGAACACATCATGACATCCAGATGCGTAACATGCTGCACGAAATTCTCTTGCGGCTTCATAATCGCACTGAAAAAATTACCACTATCACGCATGGCCCTTTCACTCGCTTTAGAGCAAAGGTGGAAACCCTTTCACTTTTTTCCCGCGGCACCGCCCCAGCCGGGCGCATGCCCCTGCTTTATTGCTGCTGCGACGAATGCGCGCATTGCCCAGCATCAAAAAAGATAAGGGGTGGCCGCTTGTGGTCCTAGCTTTGGTAGCTAGCCGAAGGCCTCCCACCCAGGGCAGACATGCCTGACAGCAGGACATCGTCACGTAACGCACCGCGGCGCTGGATGTCTGTCGTTCTTGGGGAGCCCGCGCGGGCAGGCGTGGCGCTTTCGATTTCGAAAGCTATATATTTATATTATATGGCTTTCAAAAACGCCATGGATGTCTGCCGGCGCGGAGAGCGTGGTCTCCATTATCTTCATCATAATGGAGGCGCTCAAGCAACATAAAAGAACCGCAACACATTTGCGATAGCGATGATTTTTTTCTGCGCGATACGCTTTGTGAAAGGCCGAACATGATTTTCATAAACATGCTGCTGCAGCTGCTGCATGCCGTTGGCTTTATCCATCTCAGCGTGCATCGCTGGGAGTGGATCGCCTGGCATTCCAAATACTGCTGCTGGTAAGACCGCTTTTTCGTGTGTCTTCTCGACGAGTGCAGTGGCCGCCATGCCTGTCTTTTCGGTTATGCAGGTAATGGCCGGGCTTCCTTCGCAGCAGGATGAGGTGAGAGATTTGCCATCTTGAAAGGCTCGCAAAATAGTAGGCACTGCTGACGCCAAACCGAAACCGAAAACAAGATGCTGGCGGATCGGACGGTGCTAATGAAAGCAGGCCCCTCCCTGCCATCTTCTATCTTGGGCGGCTGAGTAGCTGTTTGCTGCACTACCTAAATTTCTGAGCGGACATAGATGGGGCCTAGTGCCTCAACCACGAGAACAAGATCACGGCCGAAACATAAAGAACCGCCGCCGGCTCTAGAAATGGAGCCTCAGGCTAGGGGTGAGTGTAACCACGACCACAAGGAAGGTGGGCTCTTTCATAATGTACCGAGCAGCCCCCTCCCCAGTGAATAGCGCAGGCGCCAACTAAACGCAAGACCCGGCGCAACACAGAATCATATATAATAGAGCCTTAGGCCAAGTCCTTCTGAGCCCTGCAAAAACTCTGCGCCGGCCTCTAGACTGGGGGCCGGTCACGGTGGAGAAGAAGTTTTCAAGGGGCCCGGTAGATGGCGGAGGCCATAAGTATCCGGTCAGACGGAGATGAGACCCACCGGCAGGGAATTCTGTGCGCAAAGCAAAACCAAGACTTCTACCCCGACGAATAGAGAGTGAAGAGAGGGCGCAAAGATTTAAAAAATGACAGCCACAATAAACAGAAACTGCCAGTGGCCCAGGGCACAAGCAAAAAGCAAGCACGGCGAAGGCAAAAAGCACGTGGTGCCTTACTTCTTTAGCCCTGGGGGCGTGCCCCCCCCCCGCGAGACCCAATGGCCCTAGCAACGCTGGAAGCATTTAGGCACTGGGCCAAAAGGCGACCACACCGGGCCAGGGCTTACATACGCACGCGCGGGGGCGAACAAAGACTGCGACAGGCCCCACGCGGGTGCCTGTATATGTCTAAAAGAAACCAAGTCGCCCTTTATCGACGGAGCATTTAAATTACAAAACCAAAAACCAACGCTATTTCAGGGGCCAAGATGGCAATTTGCAGATCCCTCACGCCAAAGAGCGGAGGCCCGGCAAGGAAAAACGAGGGCGACTACGGAGATTGGTAGGTCACATGCCACACTCACGTACCAAAAGATCCCGCACGTCGGGGCTAGAGGCACGATACCCAAATAGCCACATAGGCCCAGTCAAAATGTGAGTGACGGCCGCATATGAAAATCATTATCGCCGCGACGTCCTAACTCTCGCTTTCTCAACACTATTCAAGCTGTCACTGTTAAATCTGAAGATCAGCCCAGAGGCAGAGTCCTTACTTTCGCATGAACCTATCTAGTATAATTGCTATTGCCTGATGTTTAGCTATGGTAGTAGTACAAACATAGCTACAACTCACACTGTGTCAAGTTTTAGGTTGCAAGCCATGACTGCAGACGCATGATATCAGGCCGCCCCATAAGGGCACAAATCTCGTCGGCCCCCCCCTGACGAAATTCAAGCCGTCCTCAATTTCATACCGCCATCCGTCCGCTGAGTGCTAGGAGCCCTGACCGCGGCCGCGCCAGCACTCCCATCCTCGTTCTCCGCATGTCCGATCAGCGACTCTTTTTGTTTTTTTTCGTCGACGTGGCCTTGTCCTTGCGATTCCTTTTCGAAAAAGCCGGACTTTGTTATGGCGTTCTCAACTGGTACACTCTCAACTGTTGCGCGAGTTTGTGATGCAAGAATGGGAAAAGTCAAAGCAGGGAGGTTGCACCTGTAGCATTACATGTTAGCGCACAGATTTACGTGCTGTTTAGCCTTTCCAAAATTTCTTGTCATGCGAAGTAGCTCACCTTGTCATCGTCATCATATAGTGGACACCCGCTCCCAGCGCCACAGGTCAAGGATCCCCTCCCCGGGGGGTGGGCGAGGAAGCACTTTCGGCGACCTCATCATACAAAAGCCGAGCGCTACCACGGCAAGTCGCCCCTTGTGGAATGGATTTTGATGATGATGCTGTTTATTTTGCATGACAAATCACGTAAAAGTTGAGAATGTAACGTTTGAGAACCCCATATTTGTGTGTGTCCCCAGCACCACTGGTACGTCGCCCTCCCGGTCGGCGGTGGTCTTTTGCTCGCCCGTAGTCGGCAGCGGGTCCTCGAGCTCGTGGTCTGCGCCTTTCTTCAACTTCGGGGCCGCCGCCGCTTCTTCTGGTGGGCCCACCGTGGCGACGCCGGGCCCCTCGCCGTCTGCCCCGCTGCCATTCTCCGTCCTTGGACCCAGTTCAGTGAGAGAACTTGGAGATGCGCCTGTCGTGCCACTCCCGGCCCGAGCTGATTGCAACTCTTCATCATCATCTGCCGTGCCCGCCTTTTGCAAAACCCCCTTTCTTGCATTTTTTCCCGGGGGCGGCAAAGCCAACGGCGCGGTCTTTTCTTCTTGATCAGTTTCGACGAAGTCGTAGGGAGACGGAACGCTGTCGCTGGTCGAGGAGGTGGATTCCTGGCTGTCATTGCCCTTCGTAGCGGCTTGCGTTCCAGCGTTGGTGAGGCCATGGCCATTTTGCGCGGGTGGTGAAGAAGGGAAGCTGGGGCTGGCTCCTGCCTCCGCGCGGTCGTGGTGTTCGGTTTCCTCTGGCTGCCCCTGCTCGGTTTTGTCCTTCTGAGGAGTTGATCTTGATGCAGGAGCAGCTGCACTGTGCATTGCAAATATGTCTGGGTCTAGATGAAAGATCCAAACTTGTGAAAAATGCAAAATGTTTGTCTTGCTGAGACCACAGAAATAATTCGTTGAGTTTGTCGATTCATAGCATGACAAGTTGCAGTGTTGTTCCAGGCCGAGACATATTTGCATGTGATAGGAAGACGAGCTGCGCTGCTTTATTCCCCGACGCCGTTTACTCCTTTTTGCGGTCCCCCTTTGGTGTCGTGCCGCATTGCGCGGCCCTGACAAACCCTCCGTGTGCTCCGCATGATTCGCCAAGCCCGGGTCGCCGAGTAAATCCGCATTGCCGGAGCTGGCTGGGGGTCTGACGGAAGAATCCTTGTTGCGTTGGTTTGTCCGAACAGAGCCACCAACCGGAAAGAGGCCCTGCGATAATTCGTTTTTGTAGAAATATTGTTGACCGACCAATAGCACTATCCCTCCCTTCCTGTTGCATCATATCGCCAACAAACGGCACAGGGCACGACAGCAGGCAACATGAAGAGCGGCACTCTGTCCTTGTGATGTGGCTCGCTCTGTCATGATATTAGCTCCTGATAGGAAGTTGGAATGTTGCAGGCGAAGCAAGTAATCGAAAGCGCGCAGTTGTAGTTCTTCAACCTCCCCGAACAGGCAGGACACTAAAACAACTGGCGCGCATCTCTTGGTCGAATTGAACCCCAAAGCTGCCGGTCACGGACTTCAACAAATGCGAAACTGAAGTCGTTGCTTTCAGGATCAACACATTCATACTGTAGTCGATGAAGTGCAAGAAAGAGAAAGAGAAACACCATAATGCGAAACCCACATTACATATAGTCACGCCACTTGTGGCGCTGGCGTGTCTTCACAGCTTCAAAATACATAGATAGGAGAATGGCTTCGGCTACTTACAGAAGCAGGATTTCTATCTATAGAAAGCTCAGATGCCGTTTCCGCCCTGACATGAGATGATCAGGCGGTGCCGCTTTCAAAAACAAACGATACCGCAGGGTTGCCCGCGCCGCGCTCCTCATGGTCGCTGTGCAAAGCTTCGGGAGCAGGGTTGATCGAGTCCTGGAGGTCGCCCGGCTTTTGTACAACATCAGGAGGGGGGTTGATCAAGTCATGGTCATCCGGCTTTTGTACAACATCAGGAGGGGTGTTGGTCAGATCGCGGTCACCAGGTTTTTGGCCAACATCAGGAATGGTGTTGGTCAAGTCGCGGTCACCAGATTTTTGGCCAAGATCAGGAATGGTGTTGGTCAAGTCGCGGTCGCCGGGTTTTTGGCCAACATCAGGAATGGTGTTGGTCAAGTCGCGGTCACCAGGTTTTTGGCCAACATCAGGAACAGTGTTGGTCAAGTCGCGGTCACCAGGTTTTTGGCCAACATCAGGAACAGTGTTGGTCAAGTCGCGGTCACCAGGTTTTCGGCCAACATCACGAATGGTGTCCGTCGAGTCGTGCCCAGGAACTCCCCTTAAAACATCATCAGAAGGTGGCTGGACCGCGTCGGAGCCAGCGGGCCTTTGCGAATCATCAGGACGAGGGTTGACCAAGCCGTGGTCGCCGGGTTTTTGCAAAACATCAGGAGGAGGGGGCTGGCTCGCAGCGTGGTCACTCGGCTTTTGTAAAGCGTCAGGAGTGGTGTTGGTCGAGTCGTGTATACAATACAAATTTACTGCACATGTACAAAATGCATCAAAAATTGTACCAATTTGGGGTGTAACACTTGTCATGCTGAACTAGGATCGAAGCCCAGTTTTGTCATGCAGAGACCGCATTTGTACGTGTACGGGAAATTTACTGTGGATATCGCGGCCAGGAGGTTTTTGTAAAGCATCATCAGGAGGAGGATTGACGTTCTTGATCAAGTCTTGGCCAGCGGGATTTTGTAGAGCGCCTTTCATTCGCACACCCTCGTCCCTGGACGCACCATCAGCAAGAGTCTTCTCCGGAACAACTTCCCCCTGCTTCGATTCACCGGCCGTGCCCGTGCTGCCGACGTCGCTTTTTTGAATTGGCGAAAGGCCAGTGCCAGCAGGAGCAAAGGGTCCCTGCTCATCCAGGTCGTCGTGGATGTAGAAGCCGTCCAGATACAAGATGAAGCAACACACTGTGACCACGCACATCACCACAACAGCGGCAACACCGAGGACAAAGTAAACCGGGTTTTTCTTGTACAAACTGAACCATCGTGTGTTCGTTTTTGGTTGCTTGGCTCCTTGTCCCGGAGAAGTTGAAGTGGTAGTAGCCGTAGCCCCCCCGCCGGGTCGTCTGCTTGCCTGGACGGGTAGCAAGGGTGCATTCGGACATGCGTCGTTTTCGTACGGGTCGTCTTCAGCATCGCTCGCCGAGAACGCCACCTGCTCGCAAACAACGGTGATGGGAGCCCCATCCTCTTCCTCAGCCGCGCGTGGAATTGCGTGCGCCATTTGATGGAGAAGCCAACAGGTACGTCGTGAGAAGTTTTGAAAACGGGAGAATAAATTCGCGGAGTGTAAAGCCAAACTTTTTTCAAAAACCGGGGCGGTCGTAGTTCGTAGAAGTTGCTTTTTGAAATAAGTTGGCAAGCCGAGGCGTTGCCAAGAAGTGGGGGACAGCAAGTGTTTTGTAGAGAACTGCGTTGTATGCTATTAATTGTATTTATATGTACAGAAATGTATTCTTGACGCGCCATCCTCATCTACGATGCAGTTGCCAATCACGAAAAGAAATATAGTACTTCAATAGAATGAAACGCAGAAACTCTTCCGACGGTAGATGCACGACGACACGACGGACCGGGACCGACATTTTGATTTTTGGTTCATCGCGAAATAATAAATATGATGTGAAGTACCAGCTGAAAGGTTGTACGTACGAAAATCCAGATGAAATCGAACGAACAGAGCAAAGAAACGCTTTTAATCAACCGACGAGATGAAGGTGAAAAAGAAAATATAATTGAACGAAAGCATAAAAATCTTTTCTGCAAACATGCAAGGGAAAATTTTGCACGAAAACAGAAGCTGTTTAACCTTTGAGATGGAATTTGAAATCCATTTGACTGTCGCTCCTCTCATGCGAAAAAACATCAAACCGATAGCAACGATTCTCTCGCTCTCCTGCCGAAAACTGCACTTCCGCCCTTGCCGTCTTACCGAATTTTGTCTTGCTAGCTGCTCTTTGAAGCAGGTAAGCGTACCAAAACCAAAAGCGAGACCAAAATAAACAAGGACTGCTCGCTTGTTATCGTCGTGTCAACGAACTTCATAAAGGGCGAGGGTGAAACCACGAGAACAACACGTAGGAAACAAGATGCCGCAAGGAAATCAGGACACACTCACACAGACGAGAGGTAACTAAATCTAAAACGACACAACTTAAACAAGATCGAAGTCGAGATCCAAAGATCGAAGTCGTGATCCAGAATGAGAAGAACGTAGAACAGAACTAAGATCATGAAAAACCAAACACAGAACAGGTCGAGAACGAGACCGCCTCGAGAGCGAGATCATCTAGTAAAGTAGATCGAAAATGTGTATACGCAAAAGAACGAGCGAGAGCAAAACGCGAAAATAATTACAACCGACAGAAATAATTTTGTACAGGTACATCATTTATAACGTGCACACTACGTTTCCCCAGCACATCATCCGTGGAAAATTCGAAGATTTTGTTGCTCTTCGATTCTCGGCCGGTACAGCTGAACAAGTCGCGGCCCAGGAGGACCATACCCGGATGCGGATTAGACTGTGCCTGTGCCTGGATCACGACACTACAGAAAAAGAAATTATCGTCGTATGTACACCATGTAAGTTGGATGTTTATGTTTTGTTCGCAGACTTATGACTTTTTAGCGTCAAATACAGGAACAGCGTCAAAACAACTCTCAGTAAGGACAAGCATGGAGCTGCGGCCAGGGACGACAATTCCCAAGCGCCATTCCTTTACTCCTCCCCAAAATCTTCCTCTTCGACAACCGGCGCATCCTCCTCCGCAAAAGTAGCTTGCTGTTGCTCCTGTTCATCTTTCTCATGCTGTTGAACATCAGCAGCAACATCAGCGGGAGCAGGAGCGCGGGTAGTTGCAGTAACAGTAGCAGTAGCAGTTGCAGTAGCAGTAGTACCGCCTCCCTCTCCATTGTCCGCCGAACTCGATAATTCCGCTTCAGCCTCTTGTCCCGGATTCATTTTGATTTTGCCCGCGTCCGCTACAAGTGCTGACGATCCTGTTCCTGATCCAGCTGCTCCTCGTTCTTGATCATGATTCCCATTTTTCTCCACTTTTCCTCCCTCTTCTTTATTCCATTGTTCGTTCGGAATCAAAGTCAAAGTCGGTGCTGAAGCATCAGCTCCTGTCGTGCCGCTCTGGTGTGCGGCCCGCGACGAGGATGTGTTCATCTTCGGTGACTGATTGCCATTTTTATCAGGTCCGCCACTTAGTACTCTGCTCTCTTGTTCCCACCCCTTCTTGATTCCCTTAGCTGGTGGAACTCCGCCGGCTTTATTGAAAGAACCCATCTTTCCACCCTGTCCAGGCGGGTAAGCAGAACCTCCGTGCATCTTCCCCGGGACTAAAGGCTGTCCCTTCATCGGCATCATGCCAGGTATCCACTGCAAAAGTATCGTACTCGTATAAAAGCATTACAAATTTCCCTAGCATGAGAAAGAAAATTTGTAATGCGAATTTACCTTGAAAAAAAGATTTGTAGTGCCTGACTGCAATACGAGTACGATACTTTTGCACAGGATACCAGGAGGATGATGTTGATATCCCCCAGGGCCAGGAGCTATCCTGTGCAAAAGTATCGTAGGTACGGCACTCGTATTGCAATCATGCATTACAAATCCCTCTCTTAAGCTAAATCTGCATTACAAATTTTATTTCTCATGTTGCTGCCGCAATTTGTATTGCATTTATACGAATACGATACTTTTGCAATGCATAGGAGCTGCACCACCACCTGGCGGCAGCCACACACCAGCACCCGGTGGAGGAACAGTATACCCTGGAAGATGCGGCGCTCCGGGTACACCAACAACCGGTGGCCCACCGCCCTTCATCAGATGCACCGGCGGCAGCGGTGCGCCTTTCGGCACCAAAATCTGTTTTCCGTTCCCTTTGTCCATCGGAATGAAGAGCTGCGCGCCGGGCGGGGGCTGCTGCCCTGGCGGGAGGTGCACCGCTTTTCCGCCCTTCGTATCGTCAGAAAAAACTGTTTCACGTGTAAACTCGTAATGCAGAAAATGCATCTCGCAAGTGTTTGTCTTGCTACACATGCAACACAGTGGATTTTCAGATGTGTTTTCCCTTAGGAACCTGGCATAGCAAATTTCATCTGTGGTCATGTAGTACACACTTGTGATGCAAAACCTGCAAAATCCTTACAGTGAAACACTTTTTTCGTACGATACTTCGCCTTGTCCATGTAAACTAGGTTTCCAAGATATCATAAGGAAAAATCCCCCCTCCCCATATCGAAAAGGCACGCCGCAGAAAATTTGCAATGCTGATTTGTGACCAGAAATCGCGTCTGTGTTGCAAGCATGCAACTCCACAGGCTCCGCCGCATTATGCAGGCGGTTTGTAATGCTGTTGGGCCTACACCATAGACGTTTCTCATGCTAAGCGCCTAGGCCAAAACTTCTCTACTCAGGTTTGATGGGGGCCGGAAGTCCTCTACTGCAAGACAAAGCTGATTTGTGTACGCAAATCCAGCATCAGAAACTTCCGTTTGATACGGGGAGGGGGAGTTTTTCCTTCTGATACAAGAACCGGCTTCCCGCCTGGTGGGGGTTGTGTTCCTCCTGTGCTTCCTGGTTGTGTACTAGACGCTGCACCAGCATGGTCCGCTCCCCCAGTAGTACTACCTCCGTACGGGTTCTGGCCCTGTGCGTCACTGGCAGCAGAAGTATTGTAGAATCTTCCGGACCTCCTGTATCGCAAGAAAAAACTGTTACAGTTACACATTGTGTTGCAAGACCGGCAACACAGACAACCTTTCTCATGCAGGAAATGCTTAGGAGCCTCGTTTCCTTCCTGTTTTCCCTTATGATATTCGCATTACAAGTTTTCTCTGTCACACAGAGAAAATTTGTGATGCAGAAAATTCAACAAGTGTGTAACTGTAACACTTTTTTCTCGTGATATCCTGTAGTTGTCGTCTAATTCCCGGGACAGGTTGTTTTTCTTCTTCTCCAATTCCTCTAGCGTCATTTCCCTTCTTTCCCGTTCTCTCCTGGCTTTCTTTTTTTCCTTCTTTCGCGCCGCTTTGGCTTTGTGCCCGTCGTCTGGGTCGTCGTCCTCACGGTCGTGTGCTGCTCGACGTTCATCTCGATTGTCTTTGTCGCGGTTTGATGTAGTAGTTCCGCGCTTCTTGTTACCCTTGTCCCGCCGAGCGTCCTTAATATCCCGGTCCTGGTATGGCGCTCTCAACTGTTACATTCTCAACTGTTACATGAATTTGTGATGCAAGAATGGCAAGAGTCAAGGGGCCAAGCTTGCTGCTTTTGCATCACAGATTTGGCACAGATTTAGACGCTGTTTAGCCTCTCGGAGATTTGTCATGCGAAGCAGCTTGATCATCTGGCAGCTGAAGGTTGTCCCGCATGACAAATTCATGTAACAGTTGAGAATGTAACGTTTGAGAACTCCATACCTGGCCACGCCTACTCCTAGAGCGACGATTTTTCCTGTTGTCATCTTCATGACGACCACCCTCACTGCTAGTACCTCCCACGCTTCTGGGCGACCGCTTAGGATGATGATGCTTTGAAGATCGCTTCTTCGATACGTGCGATTTCATTTTTTCGTCCTTGTTTCGCTTTTTCTTCTTCCTCGAGGCAGATTTGTTCGACTCGGACTCGCTGCTGGAAGAGGAGGAACTACTGGAAGAACTACTGGAACTATCGAAGGAAAAAGCTGTGTCAGTGTAAATTTCTGTTGCAGGGGATGCAAGACGCCTACTCTTGTCATACTGGACATGCGTCAGAGGCTCTTTTCGTGCGTGTTTTCACGTACTAGCTACGCATGACACGTTTTCTGTGTCATGCAGAGCAAACTTGTCATGCTATTCCTTCAAGAAAGTTACACTAACACAGTTTTTTTCTTGCATAGGAACTGGAAGAACTACTGCTGGAAGACGAAGAATTGCTCTGGTCTCGGTCCTTCCTTTTCCGTTTTTTCGTCATTTTCTATCAAATGCAAATATGGCTGGGTCTGGAAGAATGCAGCGCTTGCCATGCACATTTTGCATGACCCATGATGTCTCTGATGCATGTCCCAGCATCACAGATTTCCTGAGGGCTTTCTGATGCCTATACTGCATGAGAAAGGCCCTTTCTTCGTAGCAGAAAATGGACCTCTTGTTATGCTGATCAAATCATGCAATACAGATTCCGTGTAGAATCCAAGGGCAGCATTACAGGTTACTGCAACCTTCCAGACCACCCAGACATATTTGCATTTGATAATTTCTGCAGTTCCACCATTTCCTCCAGTTCCGCCGCGTCGTACACGTCCACCTTGACGGTTTCGTTTTCCTTCACCGGCCTATGCAATGCAAATATGTCTTTTTCGTCTGCTGGAAATTTGTGATGCTAAAAGGCGGATGATGGACACACTTCCGAATTTGTAGCCCAGCATGACAACTTCATCCAGAACGCTGTCTCATAGGCAGTCCGCATGGGAAACTGCATTTTTGCATGACAAAATAAATGGCTGCCGCTTTTGTTATGGTATAGTTAGTACGAAATACAGATTTATTGTTCCCAGCAATGTTTTTGGGCTACTAGCATTACAAGTTCCAACTTTCCAGACCCAGACATATTTGCACTTGATACGGCCCCAGCTTCGACAAGTCGTTCTTGTTTCCGTCGAGTTCCAAAAATTTTTCCTTGAACAAATCCGCGTCCGGGGGCGCCGGCTGTTCTTCCTCTTCAATCTTGATATCCTTCGGCCCGCCGGGGCCAAACGCGTAGCCACGGTCGAACATGGTTTCGCCCAACAAAGCGTCCTTTTTCTTCTTGTTCGCCACATCTAAAGGCATCGTGGTGCCGTCCTGTTTAAACCGTTGCAACGCGTTCTCGACGGTTTCTAGCCTATCAAGTGCAAAAGTGTCTGGGTCTGGAAGAGTCATGCTGTTTCTGCATGACACAGAAGGTCTGGCATGGAAGGTCTAGCATCACAGGTTTCGAGAAGCTTCCGCAATGCCGAATCCGCATGACAAACAAGGCCCACCCGAGCGTGGGGACAGGGTCCCCACGCTGGGGCCTTGTGCTCGTCCCTAGTGGCGCTAGTGGGGGAAGGGTGTTCGGCATCGGGGCGGACAGCGTCCGCCCCTCGCCTCACACCAGGCGCGCGCGTAGTGGCTTAGTGCGCGAAACGCTAGTGGGGGAAGGGTGTTCGGCATCGGGGCGGACAGCGTCCGCCCCTCGCCTCACACCAGGCGCGCGCGTAGTGGCTCAGTGCGCGAAGCGCTAGTGGAAAAAGGGCGAATTAGGCGCCCTGCATTTTGCAAGAAAAAACAAAAATAGAAGCAAAGTGAATATCTCTGTGTGGCTTCTGCAAAAAAGTTCTCTAATATTGAAGCGCAACGCCTTTCCGGTTCCACAGAGCAAAGAGAGCAGCTGTTTCCTGGCCGTGCATTGCAGAGATAGCCGCTTTTTTATTTTTGCATGGCAACGCGAACGCAAAGACTTCTTTGCTTATGGAGGCAGTTTGTGTTACAGCTTTAATCTTTTTCAATTTTTGCGTCGTTTTTTTTTTTTGGCGCTTTTAATTTATTTTTCACGTCAAGAGCGGCATTTGGCGTGAAAAATAAATATTTGCGCCCAGGCGCTGGCCTCGCCTTTGCTTTATCCTCACGCTTCGCCTGTCGCGGCCACCTGTCCAGGTCACCTGTCCAGGTCACCTGTCAAGGTCACCTGTCACGGTAACCTGTCACGATCACCTGTCAAGGTCACCTGTCAAGGTCACCTGTCAAGGTCACCTGTCAAGGTCACCTGTCAAGGTCACCTGTCGCCGGGGGGTAGGCGGGACCAGAACCCGGAAGTCAAGCAATGTAAATATTAATCCCCCACTTTGGTGACAGAAAGTGAACAGCTTTTTCTGCTTTATGCATTAGAGATTTTTGTGTGTTCTGAAATGCGCATCACAAGTTACATCCTTCCAGACCCAGGCATTTTTGCATCTGATATAATCGCTGAATCGGCAATTCGTCCGGGTTCCGACCGGTCAAGGCGATGATTTTCTCCGCACAGTTATCCTGAGTAAAAATGTCCCCACACCAGAGTTGTCATGCAAATGTGCAATGACAGGAACATTTGTAATGCGCATCTCCTTGAGAGGCATTCCCAGTCGTGTTTTGGAATTTGTAATGCAGTAAACAGGATGAGAGGCTGGCTTTCTCATGCGGCTGCCCTTGCTAAACAGCCCTACACTACAGATGAAAGTTTGTCAAGCAAAACTCCCAAAAGTTCGAGATTTGTGTTGCAGATTTACCAACTTGACTATGGGGTTGGGACGTTTTTTCACATGATAACAGTACTGCAGATTTTGGATGGCTTTTTCCTTTTCCCGCTTCTGCTTTTCTAAATCTTCCTTAGTTTCCTCTTTTTTCTCATTCCGCTTTTCCAGCTCCTTTTCCTTCGACAAATCGATGAGCCCCTTGGTCGGTTTCTTGTATCAACTGCAAAGATATCTGGTGGGTCTGGAAGAGTGGAACTTGTGATGCGTGTCTTGCATTCCCGGAAAATCTGTGTTGCATGAGCAGCAAAAGAGGATCTTGCTTTGCCATGCAAAAACGCAATAATAATAATAATTTGTGATGCGTGGTAGGCATCAGCAGGCGTCTCTAAAACTTGTCATGCCTGGCTGCCATTGCAAGCGCTTCAATCATGCTCAATTCAGCATCACAGATTTCCAGACCCAGACATATTAATTTGCAGTGCATATCTTGAACCGCAAAACGATCTTCGAAGCGGAGATCCCCACGTACTCCAAAAGCTTCTATGAACTGCAAAAGCATCGCACCCGCACTCGTATCAATGCATTACAAATTTCGCCAGCATGAGAAATGAAATTTGTGATGCGGATTTGCCTTAAGAAAAAGATTTGTCATGCATGTTTGCAATTAGCACGAGTAAGTGCGATGCTTTTACAGTTCATAGCTTCCAACTCGGCCCGATTTTGTTGAACTGCGGTTTGAGAATGGTGATCCGCTTCTGCATATGCATTTCAAAAGCATGATCGTGCATGTGAATTGCAGACACGCATGACAAATCTTCTTCCTAAGTGAAAACAGCATTACAAATTCTATTTGTCTTCAGCAGGCTGCGCTAATTTGTAATGCAATTCATACTTAGCACAATAGTACTTTTGCAATGCATACTGCGCCCCGTGGTTTTTGGTTTGGAAGGAAAGCTCCAAGTGCTTGCAGATCTGCCGGACATCCTCGCGCTCCGTGGAGTTAAGTTCGCGCGGGATATCAAAATGAAAAATCCCCCCTCCCCATACTGAAAAGCCATACTTGTAAAAATTTGCGATGCTGATTTGCGGACACAGATCGGCTCTGTATTGCAAGAAGGCAAAGCCAGAGACTCCGCCGGGCTTTGCGGGCAATTTGTAATGCTGTACGGCGTGCAGAGGATCAGTCTCCCTTGCCAGGAGCCAACAACAAAAAGGCCCAGCTCAGGCTTTTTATCTGCGTGCAGTCCTCTACTGCAAGACAAAGCTGATTTGTGTACACAAATTCTGCATCATAGATTTCAAATTTGATATGGGGAGGGGGGATTTTTTATTTTCATACGGGAAAATAAATTCGTCCTTGTCGTTCTGGTTTTGGAACTCCGTAATGGTTTTGAAATGCGGGGACCGCCGCAGGTGGGCGATCGACCGTTGGCCGGACATTGTTTTTGTTTTTTTGTGGTGCGTGCTGAGAGCTAGAGAGGTCGAGATGGGTCTTCAGGTCGGTGGTGACTTGACAAACACCATTTTGTTGGTCGTCGTGTTCTAGCTATAATTAAATTTTCTTCTTGTTCTATCACGCATGCTACTACTAACCTAAGTCGACAGACGTAGAAAGGCTCCAACGGAAAGGACTATGCGCAGCCGCTGCCAAAATCAGAAAGTTCGCGATAAAAGGAACATAAAATAGACCATTAGGAAGAATTTGTCGCTGTCATCTAATGTACTCAATTTTTCGAAAAACCGGAACTTCGCTATACATAGTTCAGTTGGAACCCATGCTGCTAGAAGCCCAGCAAAACCCGGATCTTGACCTTCGATTCATGTCGTGTTCAGGAAGAATAAAAAAGGCACACAAGTAGAGGTTCTTTCCGTTTTGATCTCAGAAATGACGTAGCTCGAGGACATATTCATTTCTTGGATTGGACAACTACATGTACGTATGGCAGCCGGGGCAATAAACAAAATGATAAGAGCACACGAGACAATCGTTCAAGATTCGGACCCACCCGGTCTGCTGCTCCTTTGCAATTCAACCTCTTCTCGATTCGATCATAATGGAAGTAGTAGATCACTGTATTTTTTTAATACTGGACGAGTGCAAAGAAGTTGCTGGTGGCAAGGCATCATCTAGTAGCAGTACTAGCACCCCATTGTAATTCTGATTTGCGCCTGCTCATGAAGATTCAGATCTCGAACTTTGAGTGATGTGCTGCCAAAGAACAAAGCGATAATCACGCTGGACCACCATCCTTGCGCAACGGAACGCCTTCGATCCGAGAGAAGCAAACCATTTAGCATTTAGCGCGAGTGGCTCGTGCTAAAATTGCAGTGTCACAACTATGTCTTTGCTGGACTTCATTAGCTTTAGCGATCTTTTGTGTCCGTTGTCCCACGAGGTGGACGCCAAGCGATGCTTCTAAAGCCTTGGATTTCGCAGAGTCATGACGCCGTCCCTGAATAGAACATTGCCATAGTGCTCAATACCTCGCGCACTCATACCGAGGTAATCCTGTTCGAAAACCCACGACTGGGAGTATGTTCTTGCCATGTATTTGTGGCTTTCGAACGCTGCACGCAAACGCTTGTGCACAAACTTCTCGTGCGTGCCGACATGGATTCTGCGCACCCGGTCCGCGAACTCATCTAGGGGTATCCAGGAAAAAACACCCATCCCCATCCAATTTGTCATGCAAAACACGCAGAAAGTTCTGCGTTTGTCATGCAAAAAATGGATGGAGATGGGTTTTTTTCTGTGGATAAGGAAACGCGGAATCACATACAGCTCCTGGCCCTGAATGTCCATGTCCACGAGATCTATCACCTCCACGTATGGAGCGAAAAAAAAGTTCGTCAGACGATCAGTGAATTGCAGATAGATTTTGCATGTAGATTTTTTTTTGGCCGCAGCAACACAGGTTTTTCCACTTGTATTGCCAAAACAAATAAACGAGAAATCCCGTATGAAATTTCCCTGTGATGCGTTTTTACGCATGACGTACATTATTTTTGTGTTGCAGGACGTGAAATGTTGTACATGAGTGATCGCGACGAAGAACTTTTTTTCTCTGATACCACATCCCTCATCATCACTACGTCGTCAGGAACCTCTTGTATGAATTGCAAAAGCATCGTACTCGTAGTCATCGCAGCCACGCATTACAAATCTCCTTCTTGAGGTTGAGTTGAATCCGCATTACAAATTCCGTTTCTCATCATGGTGAGGAAATTTGTCATGCGATTTCTACTAGTACGACTACGATGCTTTTTCAATGCATATCATGCGCCTCGCGCCAACTTTCCCAGCCGCGCTGCGGTGGCGCGGTCGGAGCAGCCTCAGTAGAGTTCGTCACAGCGCTGGCTTTTTCCTTTTCGTCCTCCGTTCTTTCACTTCCGGTCCCACTGGATCCGGCAGATATATAGCCCTGCCAAACCAGCGCGGACTCGCACCGGACGTCGTTCAGAGCAAGATTTTCTAACGACGACGCGACCCCATGTCCGGTCGGCTCAACGAGCAACAAACGGCACGGGGCAACACCACCAGCACGGCTGTCACGCGGCTCCTGGTCCTGCCTACCTTCCTGATCCACGTCCTCCCTCTCGCGCTCCCTGCGGACGAAGTAGTCGATCCACTTGGCCACTCGCACGCTCCAAGGCCCCTGCAGCGCGCCCCACTCGAGGTACGCGAGCGTATGCATTGCAAGTATGTCTGGGTCTGGGAGGATGCGAACTTGTCATGCTAAGTCTGGATCGTATTGAATTGAAGTAGCGACGCCCCCTGACGTACAAAAATTTGTGTTGCATGACTACCAAAAGCTGTCCAGTTTTGAACAAGTTTAGTGGCAGTTTATCATGCAGGATAGGCATGATAGGGACGTCGTCGCAGAACCTGTCATGCTAGGTCCTGCATTCCAAACCTCATGGGGAATGGAAAATATGCATGAGAAGTTTGCATTCTTCCAGACCCAGACATATTTGCATTTGATAAAACGGCCGGAGTCGCCACTCGCCAGAGTCCAACCAGTCCTGCAAGGCTCGGAGTACTTCTGGGAGTGCACAACTCCCGCTCCCCCTCATCTGTAGTGCATGCATGGCAACACAAGCAATGGTAGATATGAGGCTCCCGCATGACAAATCTCCAGACCGATCGCAGTACTGTTTGAGGCTCCGAGATTTGTCATGCGAACAGTGCTTCATCATCAAGATGTAGTGGACACCCGCACCCAGCGCCACAGGTCAAGGATCCCCTCCCCGGGGGGTGGGCGAGGAAACACTTTCGGGGGCAGCCTCAACATACAAAAGCCGAGCGCTACCACGGCAAGTCGCCCCATTAAAAGTACCAACCAGTCGGGAGCTACCCACCACACCTGATCAGTACAGCCCGGCCAGCAAGCCGAGCGCGACAGCCCAGCATACAGAACGATCCAGGACCCGACCCATTTACGCCATAAGTTTTTGTTCTCACGGAAGAGACGACGTACCCCTTTGGGCTAAGGGGCGAGACTCTCCCTTAAGCCGCAACCCCACCCGGACAGGGGAGGCTGGACCATTTTTGCCTTACCTGCGGCACGGGCGAAAAAGGCAAGTGCCGCGGGCCGGAGATGTCAAACCATTGGCCAGCTGTTTGTCACTGCTGACTGGCAACCCACCTGGGGCACAGCGACAACTTAAAGGCTTAGTTTGTGCGTGGCGGTCAGAGTGCAACTCCTTGACTTATTCTGCAATAGAAGCAAGTTTGGTATTTCGCATGACAAATGAGAGGGAGGGGGAGTTGTGCACTCTCATAGTACTGTTCGCACCTGAAAGTATTCCTCGTCAATGACGATCTGCGGGTGATAGGCCAAGCGGTTCGAGGCGGCTACCAACGAACTCTCGTCCGGCTCAACATGATCCGCCGATTCGTCATCGTCGCGCCCGCTCACGACAAGGTGCACTGAAGACCCAGTGGTCGCGCCTTGTTTTGTGCTACTACCACGTTGTCCTTCGGATTTATTTTGCTCCGTTCGAGGAATCGGGCGCTTGTTCCGGGCGCGGCCCGGTGCAATTCCAGGCCGCATTTGCGTCCCGTACCCGGACGAAGCACTTCCAAAAACGGGCCCGGTAGCGGCTGAAAGTGAAACTCCCCCAGACTCGGCCGCTGTGGGCGTCGTGTCCTCGTGCAGGCGCTGGCTTTGTACTAGTACCTCGCGCGCCGTCGCGTCCATCTTGCGACGTGACGATGAATTTCTTTCCCTGTCGTAGATGTCGGGCAATGTAGTGTTTCGCACGTTGCGCAGGTACACACTCTCCAGGCTACGCCAAGTCATCTCTACGTGGCCGGGCGGATTCTTGTCCCAGTCGGAAAGGGCAATCAAGCCATACCGGTCCATTTGGTGTGAGTTCCCCCGGTTCGTGAATTCCAGCAACGTCTGTACGTCCGGCCAGCGGTCGGCCAGCAACGGATCTTCGCAGGCCCGTCCTCGGAAGAACGCGCACCGGACGCGGGGCGCCGCGGGCGTGCTTTTCCCTATTTGCGGCGCCAGCTTCTCCAAATCGAAGTTCCAGTGGAAATTTCTGTACGTCCAGACTTCGATGGGAGTGGAAAATGCCGCGGAAGGCACTCCTGCTCGTTTGGTGCTCTGCATGGTCCCGCTACTCCTGCTCGAAAAATAAACCTCCGCCAACGGCAGAGGACCGCGAGACGGCGGCAATAGTTGTTCCTTTGATGCAGCTGCAGCTTTGTCTTTGATTTGTTGATCCTCGTGCTGTGGTAGCCGTCTGGTAGCTGGTGCCCGACCACCAGATGACGAATCTTCTTGACCTTCCAGATCGATGCCAACAACTATCCCGCCCTGCTGCAGGAGCAATCGATACTCCTTACCAACGGCTGTGAGACGGCTAAACGTCACCCGGCGCATTTCGAGCGCATCAAACGTCGTCGCGTACTTTTCAAAGATGGGGTCGGGAGCAAGGCACTGCTGCCCCCAGCACAACACATTGTAGGCATAACCCTGGGGGCAAACCGTGCGGGCTCGCATCAGCAGCTGGCCCTGCCGCACGGGAACCGCTTGGTCAGCGGATGATCCTTCAACACTTTCCTCCAGATCTACTACTGATACCGCTTCGCGTGCGACAGGCGCAAGAGTTGTAACGGAGGCCTATCAAAGAAAAAAAAGACTGTAGGTGTAAGTTGTTTGGAGGAACAGGATTACAAATCTGTCTGCCATGAGAGCAAAAACCTGTCATGCGCAGATTGCACGTGAAAACGCGGCGCTTGAGTTGGCCCTACAATGCATGCCCAGCATGACAGCCGCAGTCACTTTGCCTGTTGCGGATCACAAAGTTACACTAACAATGTTCTTTTCTTCGATAAGGCAGACGATAAGATCAGTGCCCCCTCGACTGTGACCTGCGCCGCGGGTGTGGGGCGACCCAAGTAACCCGAGGGCACCGTGGAGTCATACACTGCCAGCACATTGTGAACGGTGGTCTTGGACAACGCGCTTTGCACCAACGGGTACGACCACTTCAAAAAGTCGTGTATTCCGAGTAAAAACATCTCCACCCCAGAGTTGTCATGCAAATTTGCATGCCAAAAAAGCTTCTCATGCGAAGCCCCATGAGAAGCTTTTTCTAGTCGTGTTTTGGGATTTGTGATGCTAGAAATAGCGCGATATGCTAGATCTGTGATGCTTCTGAACTAGCTAAACAGGATTACACTACGAGGACAAACTTGTCATGCGAGACAACCAAAGTTGGCCGATTTGTCTAGCAGATTTTCCACGTTGACTCTGGTATGGGGACGTTTTTACTCAGGATATCGTGGCCGGATTGGTTTGTCGCTGGATCGCTATGCATTGCAAAAGTATCGCACTCCTCGTATAAATGCATTACAAATTTCCTCAGCATGACAAATGAAATTTGTAATGGGGATTTGCCTTAAGAGAAAGATTTGTAATGCATGATTGCAATTACTATGAGTACGATACTTTTGCACAGGATAATCGCGGGTGGCTAGCGACGTTTCCACTTTCAGTCGGTTCAAGTAAAAAAACGCGCAGAGCATTCGGGCGCGCATCTCCGAATACAGCGTGCTGGGTGTGCACTGTTCCCGCGCAGCCGCGGCTTCACCTTCGGTTACCAGGAGCCACATATGCATAGCAAAAATGTCTGGGTCTGGAAGATTCTGAGACTTGTCATGCATGTTTTGCATGACCCAGGATGTCTGTAATGCACGACCTAGCATCACAGAATTTTCAAGAGCTTCCTGCTGCCTACCTCGCATGACAAACGCCCTCCCCGCGTAGCACAAACTAGACTCCTCTCGCTGGTCATGCGATACAGATTTTTTTTGTAGTCCAAAGTTAGCATCACAAGTTCCAACCTTCCAGACGTAGACATTTTTGCATTTGATACCACAGTTCGTGCGTAACGGGCATGAAAAATCGCCGGTGTGTTCCGGCGGCGGAGGTGGCACCGGGGCCGCGTATCGAGGAAAAAAAGATTGTTAGTGTAGCTTTGTGATGCGCAACATGCAAAGTGATTGCGGCTGTCATGCTCGGGATGCATTGTAAGGTCCATCCAAGCGCGTTTTCACGTGCAATCTGCGCATGACAGGTTTTTGCTCTCGTGCCAGATAGATTTGTAATGCTGTTCTTCCAAAAAACTTACACATACAGCAGCTTTTTTTGTTGGATACCGCCCTCGCGAGGTGGACTCTGCGTAGCTGCAGGTGGGAAGAAGAAATCACCTTTCGAAACCTGCTGCGGATCCAGCTCGTATATTCATCGCAAAAGTATAATCGCACTCGTAGTATTTTTTGCAGTACTGCATTAATACAGACTTCATACTCTACTTTCGTAGCCAAACCACCATGACAAATTTAGTTTTCAAACTTAGGTATTAAGTTTGTGATGCAACATATGCTAGTACATCATGCTTTTGCATTGCATATCGTACACATTCGCGTCCTCCGTTTGTGTGAAAACATATCTAAGAAAAAAATGTGCTAGTGTAACTTTCTTTGGCTGACAGCATTACAAATTTGCTCTACATGACAGAGAGGGCCTGTCATGCGTGGCTTGTAAGGGAAAACACACATGAAAAGAGGACTTCATGGCTGTTTGGCATGACAGGTGTAAATCTGTTGCATGTTCTGCGTCACAGAGTTACACTTACACAGTTTTTTTCTTGCATAAAACATCCACGAGGGCCAATGCCGCGCTGAAGTAGACCCGTAATCCCCGTAGCAATCGAAAAGCCTGACGCGTATCCTGTGAAAAAGCCTCGTACTAGTATAAATCGCATGACAAATTTTATCAGGAAGAAAATTGGAATTTGTAATGCAGATTCGGGTAGGACACCACATTTGTCATGCATCCCTGCAATTCACACGAGTACGATACTTTTGCAGTTCATAGCGCGTGCCCGACTCTGATTCTTTATCCTCGACTTCCTCAAGGAGTGAGGTTCGAAACAAGAAGTCGTCCGTCAGTGGCATAGTGCGCAGGTCCGCACGGTCGAGCTCTGCTGTTGTAGTCGTGTCAGAAAGCGGGGCGAGCGAAAGTGTGCCAGCACGCACCGCGCGGTCATAGTGGAGCCGCGCCGACTCCACCGCGTGCTCAACGAACACGACGAGCGCCCCCCGGAAGCGGTCGCGCACCTCTGGTCCCATGCCGTCTAGGAAACGGCCAAGTAACAGCAGCTCGCGCAACTGCACCCAGATGTGATGCTTCGGCCCCAGGCCCCGGGCGTGGAGCCAGAGCAGCACCGACGCTTGAGTTGATGCTGGTGCAGCAATATCTTCTGTCGGCAACACCGTTGACGCACCTTGCTTCCTTGTCCTCCGGTGCCGCAGCCAGTGCGGGTCATCCTGCTCCCTCGCACTGAGAACGTGCAAAAAAGACCCCTTGTTTTCGGTGGACCCTCCCGCGAGGCGCTGCACGGCGTCAGGACTTGCGCAAATGTCCAGTGCGCGGCAGAAGGCTGCGGCTGTCAGGTGGTGCGCACCCGCGACCTCGTTCACAGAGTGCAGGAAGGACGGCCAGGGATAGGCCTCAAGATGAACATCTTCACCGACCTCGGTAGAAGTACTATCTTCTCGTAGGAGGTGCGCTTCCATCCGTTGAATTTCCTGGTCCAGTAGCATGTCCCGGTCACGCAGGAACAGCTGCAGGACCCGGGTCCAACGCATCTCATGTACCACCACGTCTTCGAACATCGAGAGCACATCGGCGGCCCGGTGCGTTGGCGATATCATGCGTGAAAACGCCCCCACCCCAGAGTTGCATTTATGCAAATCGTCATGCTAGAGAAGGTTTCTTATGCGGAGAGAAACCCAGGAGAAGCACTTTCTAGTAAGTTCTGTTATGCTCGAATCAGCACCATCATGCGCTAGATCGGAAACGCTGCTTCACTAGCACTAAAGACGACTGCATTTCGAGCCCAAATTTGTCATGCTCAAGAACAAGCAAAGCATGTTGATTTGTCTAGCAGATTTCCCAACTTGAATCTTATCAGCCGGGGTCGCTTTCACATATGATATCCGAGCGCACCTGGTTTCCCACATCCCGGAAAAAGCGCTGGAGAAACTGCGATGTGAAATCATCGTAGAAGCACTGCAGTACGGCTTGCACGTTATCTGGAGTCAGGTAGCCAGACGCAGGTACAGGAGGTCGTAGCGCAAACAGTACTACTACTATACGCCAGAAACAGCCCCGCATATTAGTTGTGTGAACAAGATAATAACGAGGCGCGCGCTGCTCTCTCCTGCTTGTTCAACAAATGACGAGAAGCGTACTCGCTCGAAGTGAGGTACTTACTTAGAAGATCTCTGTCTTTGGATCATGAAAAAAAGCAAACGCTTTTTTGCGCTCAGGTGGACGACATCACAACTTCGAGGATGCGTAGTTTTCCGCATGACAAACTTTTTCCTTGCCATGCAAAAACGCAGTTTGATGTCGTGCGGAAAACGCAAGACTTTTGCTTGCACCAACAGCCGGCCAGCAGAAGACCCACCAGCTTGGAGCAGCGGCACGAAGGAGAAGAGCGACCGACGAATAAAATGAACACGACCAGACGACCGCTATTTCAGAACGCAACCACTCATGAAGAGCAGGGTCAACATCCTGTCATGCGTAGTTTAGTACCCTCCACGCCCTGAGGACAAGAGTTCGCAGTCGGCCGATTTTTTCTTTTTCCAGTTTTTTCCTGTCTGTAAATTTTCTTCGAATATTAAAAGTTCGTCTTGACATTCGGTGTTCTACTTCTCTAGAGATAATTGTTGCTTCGTCTACATTCTTCTGCAGTGAGTCCAATAATTCGATGTACATGCATTGGTGTTGCTTTTGGTGCATATCAGATTGTTCCGTGATGAAACGGGGATAGTATAACTTAAATATGTAAAACAAGACTGTAAAACTGAAGGGATCCTTCAAGGAAAAAATGGGCGGGTCGGTGATTTTATTCATATACATTTTCGAAGTACAACTAGTCTATACTTTCAACTTCTTCGCTAGTGACTTACAACTCAGGGTCGGTCTCTTCTTTATCAGGTCTATGATGTTGTGCGATGAAAAGAAGAAATCGAAATTTAAAAATATCGTATATGCAAAATATGGAGAAAAATGAAAAGATCTTGTGTGAAAAAATCCAGAAGCTGGCGGAGCCTTTGATGTGACATGCTCGGTCCAGCTCCTCAAAGTAAGTCAAAGATAAAAATAAACTAAGGCCCCAAATAAATCACCCCGCATCAAACACAACCTCAGACCTGCGCGGCCTCCGCCTGTGACGACGGCGCAACAGCACCAGCAGATGACCTAGTAGTATTGCTTTTCTTCGATGATCGTCGCGGTGCAACGTCAGTTCCAACGTTTTCCATGGTCGGAGCATTTATTTCACCAGACGCCCTGGAAATCGTCCTGGGCTCTCGTCGTGCTTCTTGTTCTTCTGAAAAAAGACCCGCGGCTGGCGAGATGTGCGTCAAATCTCGAGGAACACCAGCAGCCGAGCTGCGAAATATCACAAGGAAAAGTCCCCCCTCCCCATATCAAAAGCATGCTTCTGATGCTGGATTTGCGTAGACAAATCAGGTTTGTCTTGCAGTAGAGGACAGCAGGCTCCTGCTAAGCCTGAGTAGCGAGCTTTTGGCCTAGGCGCTTAGCATGAGAAACATCTATGCTGTAGGCCCCATAGCATCACAAACCGCCTGCATAATGCGGCAGAGCCTGTGGAGTTGTCTTCTTGCAAGACAGACGCGATTTGTGGTCTCAAATCAGCAAGACAAATTTTCGGAAACGTATCTTTTCGATATGGGGAGGGGGGATTTTTCCTCTCAGTAGGAAATTGGGACAAACCACGACCTCCGAGCAAAACGACCTGTTGTTCAGGAGCGCCATGTCCTTGTTGTTGCTGGTCTTGCTTCGGAGCTGCAGCAGTTCCGCGACTAATAGCAGTAGTCGGCTGCTGACCCCGCAGAACCTCTGCATCGCCACTTTTTCGTTGTAACAGGTGGCGATTCGCCATCAGGTCGAGTTGTTGTGCTGGTTGTCCTCCTTGTGCCTGCTCTCCGGCACCCGGCGGGTTCTTGCTTCCCAGCACTTGTTCTACACTTCCGTAATATCAAATGCAAAAGTGTCTGGGTCTGGAAACATGTGATGCTGGGTGGCGTATTATGACGAGGCCACAAGTGTTGGCTCAGCATGACAAGTTTCTGAGCTTCTACGTGTTGCCTATTCTGCATGACAAGCTGCGTTTCTGTATGACAGAAAAATGGCGCTCTTGGGTACTTAACGTGCATGACAGATTTGAGAGTCATGCCAGACACGCATGACAAACATGGACTCTTCCAGACCTAGACATTTTTACATTTGATACGTAAGTAGAACTGCTGGTGTTCTCGACCGCCTGCGGGGCACCGACCAACAATCGCGAACTTTTCTTCGTCCCGGACGACGATTGCGGCCTATGGATGTGTCAGGATTGAAATCGACAAAGTTGGAATAACTATCTATTACTAGCCTCTTGACGCGGGCGTCCCGGACGCCCGCTGGGCTAGTAGATTTAAAAATAATTCTAAAGACGGGAATGCGTTTAGAAGGTTTGGCTTGGAGTCGAGTAGAATGCGGCTAGAAGGTTGAAAGGCATAACGCTGCCTGCCCCGAGGAAGATCGTTGCCGCGCCTGCGCTTGCCCTAGCGGCCTCGCCGCTTTCACGCCTTTTGCGGTCCGGCGTCCCGGACGCCGGCCCGCCGTCAGCCCTTTAGCCGCGTTGCCGCGCCTGCGCGTGCCCTAGCGGCATCGCCGCTTTAACGCCTTTTGCGGTCCGGCGTCCAGGACGCCGGCCCGCCGTCAGCCCTTTAGCCGCACGCGGCAAGCAAAGCGAAGGGGGCCGGTTGCGAAGCTTATTCTGGGGCGGCTTCGGCGGCCGGCGCAAACAAAACCCCCGCCCCTTGATGGGGATGGGCCTCACACTTCCGGGGGCTTGTTCGCGCGGTTTTGCCTCGCGCCCCCCCGCCCATGCCATGCACCAGAAGCCGAGAGGCAAAAGCGTGCGCGAGAAAAGTGAAGGAACGAAGCCGGAAAGCAAAAGCGTGCCCGGCCGGAACGCAAGAGGTGGCAAAAAGTGACTGCCTGGAAGCTCTTGGCCATCGCTCTTGCCCGGCTGCCCGACCGGAAAATGCTGGGCAAAAGTGATGGCCAAGAGCTTCCAGGCAGTCACTTTTTGCCACCTCTTTCGCTCCGGCCGGGCAACACTTTTGCGCGCCCCCGAAAGTGTCAGGCGAACAGGCCCGGGCCACTTAACGCGGGAACTCTGCGGGAAAAAATTGCCAATTTGAAGGATTGGCAAAGGCTGGGGCATGATTGCCCAGAAAGACCCGCCCCCGGCCGCCGGGATCCACCGAAAACCCTTCGAGCCCCCCGGCCCAAATCCAAACGGAAAACCCCGGCCGCTTCCAAGATTCCTTCGCGGGGCCCCGAGGCAGGTCGCCCTGCCTCCTGATAAGCGAGAACCAAGATAACCAAGCTCCGACGAAGCTCGTATCCCCGGAGGTGCCCGCGGCTTTGTGCAATTTTTTGCGCAGTTTCATGTTCAATTTTGTGTGCAATTTTGTGTGCAATTTTTGTTCAATTTCGCCCGCGCCCATGGCGGAAACCAAAAAAGGAGGTGTCCAATTTCGTGTTCAATTCGATGTGCAATTTTTTGGGAATTTCACCCCCCCGGGCCAAAACAAGGCAAAGGCAATGGTTGGGCTTTGGCGCCCCCGGCGAAATTCCCGAAAAATTGCGCATCGAATTAGCGGCCTTTTTAGCGATTTTGCCGGTGGGTCAATCGCACATATTCCCGCAAAATTAGCGCGACTTTTTGGCGACGATTTCGGAAATTCCCGCAAAAATTCCCGCAAAAATTCCCGCGAAATTGCACGCGCCAAAACCTGAAAAGGGCAGTCGGGTTGGGTGTGGTAGAAAAACGCACGCCAGTGCGGCCTCCCCCAGGTTGCGCCATGGCCCGCCTAAGGTGCGACCCCGGACAAAGGCAAGCCAGTCACCTTCACAAACCGAGAAAACACTGGGGCGCCCAAAGGCATAACACGGACGGAGCACCACGGCGCGTCCACCCAACCCCTTCGCCGGCTGCCCGATTTTAAAAATTGCCTAAATTTTCCCTGCATATTACCCCCAAAATCGGCCCGGGCCCGTTCGCCTGAGAAAGTGGTGGCCGCGGAGGTCTTGGCCAGCACTTTTGCCCGCGCGGGGGAACAGCGACTGATGGCCGAAAATGCCGGCCAGGCAGGGAGATCTTGGCCATCACTTTTGCCCGACCGGAAGGCGATGGCCAAAAGTGATGGCCCGGGCAAGGAGCTCTTGGCCACCACTTTTGCCCGCCCGGAATGAAAATGATGGCCAAAGAGTGAAGGTCGATGGTTGCTTGGCCACGGAGCTCTTGGCCATCATTTTTGCCCGGCCGGAAATGGATGAGCAGGGAGCTCTCGGCCATCACTTTTGCCCGACCGGAAAGCGATGGCCAGAAGTGAGGGCCGAGGGCTTTTGCATGTCCGGGCGAAAAGCGGCGGCAGCGGAACTACTGGCCATCACTTTTGCCCGACAGGAAAGCGCTGGGCAATAATTGCCAAGGACGGAGCCCTTGGCCACCACTTTTGCCCGCCCGGAAAGTGATGGGCAAAAGTGACGGGCAAAAGTGATGGCCAAGGAGCGGCCGCGATCGTTTTTCTTCGCCCGGCCGAAAAGTGATGGCCAGGGAGCTTCTGGCCATCACTTTTGCCCGACCAGAAAGCGATGGCAAAAACAAAAGTGATGGCCGCGGAGTTCTTGGCCATCGCTCTTGCCCCCCCGTCCGACCGGAAAGCGATGGCCAAGCTCGCTTTTGCTCGAACGAAAAGCGATGGCCGCGGAGCTCTTGGCCATCGCCTTTCTTTGCCCGGCCGCGAAGCGATGGCCACTTTGACGGCCAGGGAGCTCTTGGCCATCACTTGCGCCCGGCCGAAAGGCGACGCCCAGGGAGCTCTTCGCCACGACTTTTGCCAGCGCTTGAAAATAAAGGGCTTCGCTTCTGGAAGAAAACCTGCCTCAAGCTCGAGGCCCCGCGCTGTCGCCAGGATACGCTTCGCGACAGTATCCTGACGATAGCAGGGCGATTCGGACTCGAAAAAATGGCTTTCCCATTTTTCCAGTCCGAGCCCCCCTGCTGTCGTCAGGATACTGTCGCGAAGGGCTCGGGGGTGAGAGTGGTGCTCGCATTTGGGCGGCAAGTTGTGAGAACCGCTGTCGAGTCCGAGTCGCCCTGTTGTCGTCAGGATACTGCCGCGAAGCCTTTCGCGACAGTATCCTGACGACAACAGGGGGGGGCTCGAGGTTGAGAATGGTTCGCACGCTTGGGCTGCAAGTTGTGGAAACCGCTTGCAGGTCCGAGCCCCCCTGTTGTCGTCCGGATGCTGTCACGAAGGCTTTCCTTCGCGACAGCATCCCGACGGCTGCAGGGGGATTCGGACTTGAGGTCGGTTTTCACAATTTGCCCGCCCAAAGTGATAGCCAGGGAGCCCTTGGCCATTACTTCAGCCCGAGCGACCTACCGGAAAGCGATGGCCACCGGGCTCTTGGCGAGGACTTTTGCCCGAACGGAAGGCGATGGCCAGGGAGCTCTCGGCCATCATTTTTGCCCGGCCGGGAAGTGAAGGCTCAGGGGCCCCTGGCCACCACTTTACCCGGCCGGAAAATGGTGGCACCAGAGGAGCTCTTGCCCACCATTTTTGCCCGGCCGGAAAGTCAAAATAGTGACCAAGGGCCCGACCGGAAATTGATGCATGGCCCAGGAACTCCTGCCCTTGGCCATCACTTTTGCCCGGCGGGCCGGGAAGTGATGGCCAAAATTGATGGCCAGGCGGGAGCCCTTAGCCATCATTTTTGCCCGACCGGAAAGTCATGGCCAAGGGGCCCTCGGCCATGACTTATCATGTCCGAGCCAGCGGAAAGTGGTGGCCGACGAGCTCTTAGCCATCTCTTTTGCCCGACCCACCAGGAAAGCGATGGCCGCCCAAAGTAGTGGCCGAGGAGCTGCTGCTGGGTGGCCATCACCTTGCTTGCCCGGGCGGAAGGCCATGGATGGCCAAGGAGCTCCTGGCCGTCATTTTTGCCCGGAGAGACAGGAAACAACGTCTGCTCGGCCGGAAAGCGATGGCCAGGGGGCTCCTGGCCCTCGCTCTTGCCCGGCGGGCCGGAAAGTGATGGTCCCCATACTGCCACGGGATCCGTGGCTTTGCTTTGTTTAAGGTGCTGGCATTCTTTCACATGCTCGCCAGGGCGTGCAGGATAACATTTTGCACGACGGTACGGGGCACATATAACGGGAACGCGTTCAATCTGTTACACGAAGCTTCTAGACGAGACCTTCTAAGCACATTCGTTTAGAATTATTTTTCTAAGTGCCTCCTATAGATTATAGCAAAGGGGGAGGCAAAGTTCGTTTCACTATTATTATAATTATATTCATGCGAAAGTATTGGTCTAGAGAGGGTAAACGAGAGGTGGCAGGGAGGTCAAAAAGAGGCCAAAAGAGGTAAAAAAGAGGTCGACAGAGGTGGAGAGGTGGCGCGGGAGGTCATTCGGGAGGGTGGCCGAGAGGTGGCGCGAGTATAGCCCGCCGAACCGGTCGCCCTTTAGGGCCGCTAAGCGCCTCGGAGGGTGCCGAGAGGTAGAAAAGAGGGCGGCCGAGAGGTGGACAGGGGTGCAGAGAGGTGGCGCGAATAACGGGAATCCTCTCGCGCACCCTCTGGGCCACCTCTCGGCCACCTTTGTCGACCTCCACTGGCGAGTATAGCCGGATTATTAGCGGGGACCCCCAAAAGAGGTCAAAAAGAGGGTCTGCGAGAGGTCTGCAAGAGGGTAAAAACAGAAAGAAATGGGCGCGAATCCGCATGGTGCTGCCCATATTTCGCATTGCAGGCCATTCGCGGACTTGTTTTGCTCGGCGCCTTTCCGTGCCACCCTCTCGCGCACCCTCTCGCGCCACCCTCTTGCGTCACCCTCTCGCGCAACCCTCTCGCTCTACCCTCTCGCGCCGGGCGGCTTCTGTTCGCCCCCGGTGTTCTTTGCAGCTGCTCCCCCCGCAGAGCGCCCACAGGCGCGGGAAGCGCGCAAGCGGTCCTGCGGGTTGGCGCAACGCAAACAGGCTCCAGTATGTTTCTCTATGCGCAGGCCCGTAGTGTTGCGGTCCAATCGGCAAACAGTCTTGCCTCGGCCCGACAGCCTTGCGCTCCGGCGGCAGCCGGAGCATGGCTGGTAACTTGTAATGCATAAAATCGAGACCAATTGGACCCGCAGGTTCCAGTCGGCGCATGACAAATTTTGTCCGTCACGGAAGCCAGTTTGTCATGCTGTTTAGGGCAAAGGGGCTCCCCTCTGCGATGCTAATCAGCAGCCCAATTCTCGACCCTTGCCAGCACTACAATCTGCCTCCCTTGCGTCCTCTGCAATAGAGGCAGTTCGTGCGTTGCATTTTATGCATGACAAACTATTTCAACTTTGACGATTTCAATCCTGATACTCCCATACGGCGTCGTTCCCGCGTACAGAATGGTTCCGGAAACAACGGTATCCTGTGCAAAAGTATCGTACTCGTAGTAATTGCATTTATGCATTACAAATCTCTTTCTCAAAGTAAATCAGCATCACAAATTCGATTTGTAATGCTGGGGGAATTTGTAATGCAATTTAAACTACTAGTACGATACTTTTGCATTGCATAAACGGGAATATCAGGAGTTGTTGATCCTCCTCCTCCAGACGAGTCGCCTGCAGGAGTGGCCTTGCTCGCTGGAGATGCTGCTGGCGCGCCTTTGACCAGGTTTTTGAAATAGTACCCATACAGTTTCGGGTTCCAGGAAAAGGTGTAAATCACCAAGATCGACCAGAAAAGGAGAAACAACACAAACCGCACCCAGCGGACCGTGGTCAGCTCTTGGCGCAACTCGCGCCACACGGCAGGGTCGGAGAACAGACCGTGCTCCTTGTAGTAGGCCTCCGACGCCCACATCATGGGGTACTTTTCGAAGCAGGGAAGGTACCACGACAGGTGTAGAATGGAGTAGTCGTTGAATTGCTGCTTCCCACCGGTGTCGTAGCCCAGCGTGCCCATGACGAGGAGAACTTCAATTGCGTTGCACACAATTTCGTTCAACCCCAGCACGGAGGTCAGAAACAGGTTCAGCTTGAACGAAGAACTCCACCGCCCGTCCCAGTTGCCCGAAATGCACAAATTGACCCCGCAGCTCCACAAGCAACACCCCGCACACCGCGTCAGACACGTCGGGGCCACGCTGCGGTCGCAGCCACAGCACCCCACGCGCTCCAGGTCGCTCGGGTGGGAGGCATCCGTGAAGCAACCACTCGCCGCCCGGTCACACTCGGGCCCAAAGTTGTTGCCGAGATAGAGAAGGTTTTTCGGCTGCACTACCGGTGGCTTCGAAGTGTCATACCCGGCGGGAGTCACCGCGCGTTTATTGTAGTTCGGTCGCTGATCCTCGCGACCCCTCATTTCTTGCGCGGCGGAGTGCGAGTTCGTTAAGGGTAAAAAGGGCGTGGAGTTGGAAATTATCGCCCTGTAGTTTGACGAACTTCTTGTCCACCTCGCAGCGAAGCAGGCGAATGTTTTTATCAAAGACTGGCGTTTCTACTTTTCCTGATGTCTGCTACGTCCGCTTCGATTGGTGCTGTACTAGTCGATGTTCGTGCTTCTTGAATTTTCAACCCAACCGTTGTTCAGGCCGTGGAATCTCGATACTTACAAACAGCTGCCGACTAAAAATGCGACAGGCTCGGTTCGGTTAGATCAAAAATATCCAAAGAAGGCTGGAAAAATGACAACAGGTCGTGGTGACGAGGGCGGGTTCTTTATTATTAGGCTCCTTACAACTTGAGAAAACAGCTTTTCACCTGGGAGAAGAGAACGAGAAGAAGAACAGGCAATAAGAACTCTAGCTGTAGTCGGCCGAGTGGAAACATTCTTGATCGAGATTTATTGATGCCTCATCTATACTTCTTGTCCGTGCAAGTGAACGGCTGCCCACATGAAGGATTCATGTGGACGAGTCATGTTGTGCTTGTGACAACATGAAATAATAAAGACGAAAGATGCAGCTCCATCCTCGCTTTACTTCTACCGAGGACAACATCTCTCACGATAGGACCGACCTTGTACTTGCTGTTTCTACGTAACAAACAACGGATAAAAGAATAGAACCAAGGTCGACATCCGACTGGTTCCTCTGGGGTGTACGACGGAAAATACAAGCAGACAGAACCGAAAACAAACCACTCCTGGCTTGATGACACCCTCGAAAAGCACCGATGAATTTCGTGTACAAGTTCTACGCAAGAAACGAAAGCGGAGAGACCGTCTACGGAAGCACAAACCTTTCTCGTACGAAAGCAGAAATGCGAGCCCGAAGCAATTGCAGCTGGCTGTACCGATCGATTTCGGTCTCTAGGTACTTGCAGTGAGTTGTTGCAGATGAAGATGTTATAGAAGATTTGCACTCGTCGAGAACACAATACACGTACAAGAGCAGAACGATCTTGTTCGTAGATACTTCGTGCTGTGGTCTTCCATTGGAAAATTCCGGTTAATTTTCTTCATGTTTCGATTTGCTGAGTAGAATAGTAAAACGCTGAAAAGATTGAACAGGTCAAAGGGTATTATTGTCTAAACGCCGGTGGACACACAGAATAGCAACGAATAACTAACGCTTCTCGGTTTTTTTCTGTAGATGGGATACATCAATTTTCATTTTTGCTCCCCGTAACAAATTTGCGGTTTGCGTTTCTTGGGAAGATCTTTTGTTGGGGCTGCCCATTCGATGCATACTCTGTCTCCTTCCATATTATGTTTCTCATATATCTGTAGTGCCTGTGGCATGAATACGACCTATGAGAATGATTTTGTTGATCGCACAAAATTGATGTGTCGTTCTATCGTGCCGCACGACTTTTCTAGTACAACTACGTGGTATTTAAACGTGGTTGCATTCTTTTCTTTCAGACTACCTCAAGGTGGGCAAAGCCGGCTTCACCATCACCATCCTCGTCCTCGGTACAATTTATTTGTAGTTGTGCGGCATTGAGTTTTTGTTTTTCAAAACGAAAACTAATCGATTTTTTTCATCTTGCGAAAATAAGTAACTGGCCCACTATGGTATACCAGACCCACTATACCGCCGCTGGGCCCTGGGCGAACAGGTGGCCGTAGTTTTGCACTTGCTCAGTGGTTGTCGCAAGAACCTCCCCAGGACCGCTTAGAAGCTGCTGGTGGTTTCTGTTCACGTCGACGGAAGCGGTAATGTGCGACGTATCTTGAAAGCCGGACGAAAGTTCGCCGGTACTAGACGGCTTTTCCTTTTGTCCCGCACGACTTCCCTGCCGACCACTACTCCGCCTTTTCTGCTGATCTTGAAGGTCTACCTGCACAACCTGCTCCTGCAGCTGGTGCCCACTCTGCCGCGGCTTAATGGAAGACGCTGTTGTAATGTGATTTTCGCGCGAAGCCCGCACTGCGGTAGAAGTTGTGCCGGACGCCTGTTTCGAGGTTCTGTTGCTTCTACGAGGACCGGAACTATTTTCATCGGGAACAAGAAGAGCAGCCGTCTCTTCTTCTACAACGTTGTTGTAGTTGGGACCGCCCTCGACTATAACTCCGGTCGTTTCTGCCTGTTCTTGTCCCTCTAGCGTCACCACCCCTCGATGAACATCAGTGCTGTAGTCCTGGGCCTGCACAGGTTGTCCGAGCAAGGGCACGGCGGCTTCTCCGCCGTGAGAAGTTGTAGTACCAGTCGTGCCGCCCTTTGTACTAGATCCCTTCTTGTTCATCGTCGCAAAGCCCCCGCCGGACCTTTTTGCCGCCAGGACCGAGGCCACGTAGCTGTAGTCAATACCCGCGACGAAAACTTTGGCGTTCCAGCTGATAAAGTACACGGCCAGCGCGATACTAACGGGGATCAACAGGAACACTTTGCAGTCGTGGACCGTGTGCAGGTTCAGGTACAAAATTTGCGACGTTTTCACCAGCCCGGGGTTGTAGGCCAAAACCTCGGCGTTGCTGTATCCTGAGTAAAAACGTCCCAACACCAGTCAAGAAGATGGCAAATCTGCTAGACAAATCAACCAGCTTTGGTTGTTTCGCAAGACAAGCTTGTCGGTTCGTAGTGGAATCCTGTTTAGCTAGTTTAGCAGGAATATCACAGGTCTACGTATATCATGCTGATTAGAGCATGACAAATTCCGCGAACACGAATTGAAAATACTTATCATGGGGCTCCGCATGACAAACTTCAACTTTTTTCGGATGCAGATTTGCAGGACAACCCTGGGCGGGTGGGGACGTTTTTCCTCAGGATATGCTGCGGTCGGAGTGGTAGTAGGTTCCGTCGATCGTGATTCCCGCAAAGGTCGTTGTGTTCCGGAGTACGGGGCCAAGTATGAGAGTGCACAAGAACTCCCCCTCCCCCTCATTTCTCATGCAAAATAGCTAGTTTACGCCTGGGCGTCTAGCACTGTTTGCATGACAAGTTCCGGCAGCCCAAATAGCACTACACGCCTGTAGTCCAAATTTGTCATGCAAGACCTGTACTAGGTACTCTTGCTAACGCTGGCATTGCTGTTCATGCTGCAATACAAATGTTGAGGGGGAGGGGATGAAGTTGTGCACTTTCATACCAAGATCGTGCGCATCAATCGTGTGCGTGTGGCGGCCGCCCCAGTCCTCGGGCGTGCCGCCGGCTCGGATGTGCTCGATATGGATGTGTCAGGATTGAAATCGTCAGAGTTGAAATAGTTTGTCATGCTAAACCGACCGAAACCACTACACAACCTGTAAGGGCACCGAACCGCACGTGGTTCGGCCACCAGGTCGCGGAGTCAGGCGGACCGAAGCCATCACCATCATCCCCGGGCACATCCAACTACTTACGCTGCCTTTTCCTTACTTTCGCACACAGTCCTCACTACGCCAGCATGCGTTTAACGTTCGCCAACGGTCCATACTTCTCGCCAGCAGGTGCGTTTAACGTTCGCCAACGAAATAGTTTGTCATGCATAAAATGGATGCCAGTTGGAGCCCAGTTTTCAAGTGGCGCATGACAAGTTTTGGTGGTGCCTAAATCCAGTTTGTAATGCTGTTTGGGTAAGGAAGACGCCTTTTGTCATGCTACTTTAGCAGCTCTATTTCTACCCCTCAACAGGCTTGCAATCTGCCTCCCTTGCCTACTCTGCAAGACAGGCACTTTGTGGGTTGCATTTTATGCATCACAAATCATTTCAACTTTGACGCTTTCAATCCTGACGCTTCCATACTCGAGCAAGCTCACGTACGCAAGCTCCTGATTCAGAAAGCGGAGGTGCGACAGCAAAGCGGCAAACGGCTCTAGGACGCCCACCGGAACCCAGTACACCGGCAGGAGCGCCGCGGGGAGAATGGTCCAGATACTTTGATTCGCGGCCGCGACCAGGAGTGCCTGGAAAACGAAAGAAAAGGCGTGCAAACACCAGATCAAAGCGAAGAGGCCCAGGCTATCCTGTGTAAAAACGTCCTCCCCACCCCATAGTCAACAAGATGGGATGAAATCTGCTACACAAATCACCAACCATTGGCTGTTGCGCATAACAAATTTGGGCTCGTAGTGTACTAGTCGTGTTTAGCTAGTGCAGGAGCATCACAAATCCAGTTTATCATGCTGATTTGAGCATCACAAACCTCAAAACACAATTTACTAGAGCATGCTTCTCATGCGTCTCCGCATGAGAAACATTTATTCTAAGCATGGAGATTCGCATTACAACTGTGGGGTGGGGGCGTTTTTACACAGGATACAGGTTGAACTTGAACGAAGCGGACCAGAGTCCGTCCCAGTTCCCCGTGTATCACGAGGAAATATCCCCCCTCCCCATATCGAAAAGGAGATCTGTGATGCTGGATTTGCGTACACGCATCAGATTTGTCTTGCGGTAGAGGACTGCACGCAGATCGCAAGCCTAGATAGAGGCCTATTGGTGTAGACGCCTAGCGTGGTACTTAGACGGCTGCCCTGTAGTCCTTACAGCATTACAAATCGCCTGCATAGCGTGGCAGAGAGCCTGGATTTGCCTTCTAGCAAAACAGACAAGATTTGTGGCCACAAATCTGCAGCACAAATTTTCAGAAGATACGTTTTCAATATGGGGCGGGGGGATTTTTCCTTTCAATACCGTGACGCACAGCCCCAGGCCGCAGCAGGCGCAGCAGCAGCCCGCAAATCTTTCGATGAAGCTCGGGCAATATCAAATGCAAAAATGTCTGGGTCTGGAAGGTTCTAAACTTGTAATGCTGTCTCTGGATTCTGAAAAAATTTGTGTTGCATGACCAGCAAGAGAACTCCAGTTTGTGCTACGCGGAAAGGGCATTTCTCATGCGGCAGAGGCATCTGTAATGCTAGGGCGTGCATCACCGACATCATGGGTCATTCAAAATATACATGACAAACCTGGTAATCTTCCAGACCCAGACATTTTTGCATTTGATAGGTAATAGCTTCGGTCACAGTAGCAGCACCCCACCTGTGCGGATGCGGCTTCCACGGGTGCGCGGTCGGCACAGCAATACTTGCCAACTATCAACTGCAAAAGTGTCTGGGTTTGGAAGATTGGAACACTTGTCATGCACATTTTGCGTGAACGATGATGCCTGTAATGCATGACCTAGCATCGGAGATTTTGCGAGGGCTTCCTGATGCCTATACCGCATGAGGAATACCCCCTCCGCGTAGCATAAACTGGACTCCTCTTGCTCCTTACGCAATACAGATTTTCTTGGAATCCAAAGACAGCATGACAAGTTCCATCCTCCCAGACCCAGACATATTTGCATTTGATACCAACAAACCAGTCACAACGGGAGGGGTTCCGCGGTCGGCCATACGGATCCGGCTTATTGTTCTCCTGCATCAGTTTATCGTACGAAAAAAGTAGTGTTTCACTGTAAAGATTTTGCAAGTTTTGCATCACAAGTTTGTTCTATGTCATTACAGGGTGGAAAATTTGCCATGCGAGATTCCTAAGGGAAAACACAGCTAAAAATTATCCCTTGTCTTCGCATGTGTAGCAAGTAGAGAAACACTTCTCGTTCTCAGATACATTTTCTGCATCACAAGTTTACAGTGAAACAGTTTTATTTTCTTGCGATACAGTTTCGGTTGCCTCCCGTTTCTCGTGGCTGGAAACTGCTGCTGCTGCTGCACCTCTTGCTGCAATGGGCCCTTCCCTTCTATGAAAAGGAAAAATCCCCCCTCCCCATATCAAAAAGGAGATCTGTGATGCTGGATTTGCGTACACAAATCAGATTTGTATTGCAGGAAGGCACTGCGACCAGATCCCCAGGCTAGCTAGGGGCGTATGGGTCTAGTTGTTCAGCATTGCAAACGGCTGACCTTTAGGCCCAAGAGCATGACAAATCGCTTCCATAATAAGGCGGAAGCTTCTGCCCTTGTCTTCTTGCAAGACAAATGTGATTTGTGACCTCAAATCAGCAACACAAATTTTCGGAAAGATACCTTTTCGATATGGGGAGGGGGGATTTTTCCTCTCAATACCTTCATTCATATTCGCGAAGATTCTTGCGCCTGCGGGGGAAATTATGTTGTCGGGTACTGCTCCGACCCCCTTGGCAGGCTGCAACATCGGCGTTATTTGCTCTTCCGTCGGGGGGTCTACGACAGGAGCTCCTGTCGGTGCTGCAGTGGCGTTGGTGCTGTTCCTGGTGTTGTCCATGAGTGCTACGCGTATTAGTTTTTCAAATTTTAATTTATCTATGGAAATGGAAAAGCAAAAACAAAAAGTCACAAAACATCAAACAACGGGACGAGGACTAAATACGACTTCTGATTGGGAATTGCGTAATATGCCCGCTCGGCTTCCTAAAATCTTCGATGATGGTGGTGACGGTGAATGATAAGATATATTAGCTGCTGGCACACAACTTCCATAATTTTTATGCAACAGGGGGGGATGCGCTTGTCCTAGCAGTTGGGTTGCTACGAATGGTCATCCAATAATAGATCTGCTTCGAAGATCACGCAAACCTGTAGTATATTTGCATTTGATGATTTTGTCAAGCAATACGAACTACAACTACATCACAAAGACGACAAGCACAATGCCAATCTGTATGGCTTCTGCAAGGGAACAGATTCTGCAAACAGAAACAAGAAAACCGAGATGGAGGGTGAAGAGCGAAAAGGAAAACAAAGTATACACAGGACGACAAGAATATTAAGATGGACGAAATATCTATACGAAAAGAAACGCATCATTCTGATTTTTGCACGACAAGGACGAAAGACCGAAAAATGGGTGAAGAGTATCGATATTTCATGTATAATTAAAATCATTCGTAAAACGCATGACATCATGCTGGCTTCGATAGCGATAGGTACGACGTACGACAAAAAGTAACCACACCGAATCGAGAACTGCGTTCTCACGACACAGAAGATGACGACCGAATGGGTGGAGCGAGTTTCCTGCACTCTAAGCTCAAGCACGACAAGAAGAAAGCTCCATGTTGTCGCGTATGCTCAGGTGGAAAGAAGTACGGGGCGTATAATATACCATGATACGACCTCCTGGGAGGTCACCATCCCATGCGTATGTGAAAGTAGGACTGCAAATGTGTAAGTATGTGTCGTCTTTATTTGAGTACTTCACTGACTTCCTGGCTCCTCCTTACAGTGCGCAGGAGCCCAGCCCCGGTCTATTCCTTTTTGGCTCGTCTGTTTTCCGCGACCTTCTCTTGTTGTTGTTTGTCAAACAAAAACTACGAAATAAAAAGTGAAGCACAACTCTGTCGAAAAATCTTATTTGATAGCTCAGGGATAGAAGCTGCTCGAATCTTATTTGATACTTCTGCTCGGTACTGGGTCGGAAAGCTGTGAAGGAGTTGCGCACTAGGTAGTGATTGCTATTTGTCCACTTACTTCTGCAGCACCTCCTTCTGGTGTGCGCTCTTGTTTACTACTTCGTTCTTTTCTGTTGCGCGGCCTGCTCCCTCCACTTGCGCAGGCACAGCGGGCGTTGCAATTACAAGAAAATCCGCCCCGCAGGTGAGAACCACGGGTCATCAGTCTGAGCGTCCGGTGTTTATTTTCATCGTCGGCACTAGAAGTGGAAAACATACCTCGGACCACAGAAGGCCTCACGCCGCTAGTGAAGATCTTCATGGCGGACACCCTGCTTCCGCTTTTGCCTTTGTACTTCCAACCCACAAGAAAGTAAGATAAGGCGAGCACAAGCTCTTTAGATGATAGTGATACTTTGGAGGGAAGGAAGATAACACAGATGAAAGACAAATTTCATAGGAACAATGCCGGACGTCTTTATTTGGATATAAGGTGGAAAGTAAAAGGAAAGGCTTTTTTGAAATTATAGGTGTGATAATTTATTAATGTACTTATGCATGTGTGGCAAAAAAAAATGAAAGGAGAAAAAAACAAAATTGTATTTCTTGTTCGATAAGTTTTGCAATAGATATCGCTTCCTCAAAAATTGAGCATTGATGTTCTTGCGCTGATCCCCTGCAGCAGTTGTTGTCGATTATATCGTTGTCAGTCGCAGCGCTGCTTACTGCTGACACTTTCGAGCGTTGGAGTGAACGAAGTTGTCTCAAGCCTGGCTGTTGTTTCGTTCCGCTTATCGTGTTCGTCTCCGTGCAGTACAGAAGGGGAATAACGATGTCCTCGCTGGTCCTGCTTCATTTTCATACACGATTCGCAAAACTCAGGGGGCAACGCCTTCAACCGGTTTCTTCTGCAGCGGCAGCGACAGCGTCAGGGCCCTCCGACCCCGCTTCTTCCACTCTCTTTTACAAAGAGACGTCAGAGGCGGGCGGAATGACGTCATCGACGAATGGCAGGGGGTTTCCAACGAACGCCTTGTCGGAGTCGGTTGCTTTTTTAGTGTAGTGGTGCTTATCCACTGCAAGCAGAAACATGTAACCAGGGTCGGTAAAGAAAAAAATGGCCGTTATTCGCCGTGCAGCTGCCGAATCATAAGAGCTAATACTCTGCCATCCACATAAAGATGCTCCGGCAGCAAGATTGTCCTCTGTGATCAAGTTAAGTAGTAGAGCAAACTGTCCGCGACTCTGTCTTCATCTCGAGTCCGAAAGAAAGCGAGAAAATTGTCCGCGCTGGAACTCGAGGACGTACATTCTTACTCGATTATATCGATCTTGATCTTAACAACGTGAGTACTGATCTCTACATTGCTTGACTTCCGGGCTCTGGTAACGCATACCTCCGGCGACAGGTGACCTTGACAGGTGACCTGGACGGGTGACCTTGATAGGTGACCGTGACAGGTGACCTGGACAGGTGAGTCGCGACAGGTGAGCGCCCTTGCCCCACTAGCGTTGCAAGCACTAAGCCACTACGCGCGCGCCTGCTGGTGTGAGGCGAACACCCTTCCCCAACTAGCGACTCGCGCACTAAGCCACTACGCGCGCGCCTGGTGTGAGGCGAGGGGCGGACGCTGTCCGGCCCGATGCCGAACACCCTTCCCCCACTAGCGCTACTAGAGCTGGGCACAAGGCCCCAGCGTGGGGACCCTGTCCCCACGCGTGGACCTTGCTTATCATGCAAGTTCGTCCTGTTCATATTGTACATAGGTAGCCAGACAACATTTCTTCCCTGTTCTACCCCCCCTGCTGTTCTGTGCAATGCATAGTGCATTCCCGATGGCGTTTCGGTGAGTGATTCCACGTCCTCCGTGACCCCCTTCTCCGCCAAAATTGTGTGTGCCGCGTGCCCGTGAGGCCCGTGATGCTGGCGAAGCGTTTTTACAAGTTCGCTGCGATACATTTCCAGGCCTTCCATTTTTTCGTTCACTTTCACAAGCCGCTCCGCCTCGTTGAACGGAATCAGGCTACTGCTGAGAACGAACCCGTTCCAGCAGTTCTGAGGGTTCGTGGGGGAACGGTATTTGATTTGAGTGAATTCCTCGTCTTTAGCAACAATCATCTCCTCCGTGTTTCCGGTTTGCGCATTTTGAATTGGCATTTTGATATTCGCCTTCACCTTCGAGTTTTTGCCGACACATTCAATCCGAGCGTGCGCGGGAAGCGTAGCATCAGCACGAGCATCACCGGTGTCTGTGGCCCGGGGTGTTGCGATTGAGTCTTCTTTTTTCAGCCAACCTCCTTTTTTAGCCAAATCGTAAACTTGGTATCGTGTCTCCGATATTGGCGAAAATGGCATCAGGACAACCGTCTTGGCGGCTGGAATTCTTCGCAAGCTGGGACTCCAATTTGCTCGCGTAAAAACCCCTTTCCCCAGTTTCCAAGTTCCAGGAGCAACTGCAGACGGATTTCTCCTCGTCTGGAACCCGAAGCTCTTCCATCCCCCCGCTGCCCAGCACCGGCATGATTCTGAAGGAACAACCGTATCGGCATCGCTCGAAGCTTCTTGCTCGACATGATCAGGTAACTCGTCGTCCTCCGCCTCCAAAAACGCCACGGGGTTTCCTTGGTGGTCAGTCACATCGTCTTCCTCCTCCGGAAACGGGTCGTCGAAGCCGTCGTAAGGGTATGCATTGCAAATTCTCGATGATCCGGGTCCGGAGGAGGACAGTTGCAATGCTGGTGGTCTCAGATAAAATATAAATGGGCAATGCCAATGAATAAGCTGGTTAATATATATAGACGCGGAATCGACGGAAATTGCCCAAAAGCACTGAAATCGTGAAGCACTTTATCACTCCCCGCGTACCCTTATGCGAAACCACTCCAGCGATACCCTTACCCGAAACCACTCCAGTGATACCCTTACCCGAAACCACTCCAGCGATACCCTTACCCGAAACCACTCCAGTGATATCCTTACCCGAACCCACTCCAGCGATACCCGTGCCCGAAACCACTCCAGCGATACGCACCCGTACCCGAAACCGCCCCAGCGATACCCTTACCCGAAACCACGCACTCCAGAGCGTCCCGGTTTCCCGGTTTCCCGGTTTCCCGGTTTCCCGGTTTCCCGGTCTCCCGGTCTCCCTTCTAATTCTTCCAATCGCTACATTCTGCTTCGTCTTTTTAGCTATTCAGCTACAACCCCGCTTTCCCTGTCTTTCGAACTATGCAGCTGCAGCCGTCGCCCTTTCTAGGTCCCCCAGCCTTCAGAATTTTCCCGGTTTCCCCCGGTTTCCCTGTGTTTTTAGCTATTTCGCTGCATTCGGCTTTTCGGCTCCCCAGTTTCCCGGCCTCCCGGTTTCCCCGTCTCTTCGTCCCCCCGCCTCTGCGTCTGCCGTCTGCCGTCTGCCCGTCCCCCGGTCTCCCAGTCTCCCAGCCTCTCCTTCTCTCAGCAGTCTTCCAACCTCCCTGCCTCCCAGTCTCCCAGCCCCCTTCCCCCCAGGCTCCCCGCTTCCCAGTTTCCCCGGCTCCCAGCCTCTCAATCTCCCAGCCCCCCAGCCCCTTAGTGTATCACTGCTTTTGCGTGGCTGTCAAACTGTTCGCAGATAGAGAAAGAGGTCCCGCAGCAAACACACGAAAACAGCGAAGAAAATGGAAGCCGGAATCTGTTCGCACATAAAGAGGGAGGCGGCGCGAACGCCCTCCCGTTCTTTCTAGGCAAAACAGTCTCCCAGCCCCACCGTGTCAGTCTCATCGCTTTTGCGTGGCTGTCAAGCTGTTCGCAGATAGAGAAACAGGTCCCGCAGCAGGCACACGAAAACAGGGAAGAATATGGGCGCCGGAATCTGTTCGCACATAGAGAAGGAGGCGGCGCGAACACCCTCCCGTTCTTTCTAGGGAAAACAATCTCCGAGCCCCTCCGTGTCTTACTGCTTTTGCGTGGCTGTCAAGCTGTTCGCAGATGCAGAAACAGGTCCCGCTGCAGACACACGAAAACAGGGAAGGAAATGGGCGCCGGAATCCGTTCGCACATAGAGAAGGAGGCGGCGCGAGCGCCCTCCCATTCTTTCTAGGCAAAACAGTCTCCCAGCCCCTCAGCGTCTCACTGCTTTTGCGTGGCTGCCAAACTGTTCGCAGATAGAGAAAGAGGTCCCGCAGCAGACACACGAAAACAGCGAAGAAAATGGACGCCGGAATCTGTTCGCACATAGAGAAGGAGACGGCGCGAACGCCCCCCCGTCCTTTCTAGGCAAAACAGACTCCCAGCCCCTCGGTGTCTCATCGCTTTTGCCTGGCTGTCAACCAAACTGTTCGCAGATAGAGAAGCAGGTCCCGCAGCAGACACGCGAAAACAGGGAAGAAAACTGACGCCGGAGTCTGTTCGCACATAGAGAAGGAGGCGGCGCGACCACCCTCCCGCTCTTTCCAGGCAAAACAGTCTCCCAGCCCCTCCGGGGCATATCGCTTTTGCGTGTCTGGCAAACTTTTCGCAGATAGCGAAACAGGTCCCGCAGCAGACACACGAAAAAAAGGAAGAAAATGGACGCCGGAATCTGTTCGCACATAGAGAAGGAGGCGGCGCGAGCGCCCTCCTGTTCTTTCTAGGCGAAAGCCTCCGCAGAGCTCCCTAGAAAGT